CATCAACTAGATAGATTTGGAACAAATTGAATAGTCAGATTCAAAGAGTAGTTTGTTGTTAATGGTTCATTGCCAATTTGTCTGGTCTATATTGGATTGCCCTAGGGATGGGCACTTGCCCTAAAGCTGTTTAACATTTTTTTGAATGATTCAAATGAAGATATAGATAGTATGCACATCGAATTGACAGATGATACAAAAGCAAGGAAGAATAGTTAACCCACTGAAAGCCAGTGAGGATCCAAAAAGATCTGGACGTATTAGAGCATTGGTCTGAATCTAATTAGATGAAATTCAATAGGGATAAATGAAAAATATTATACTTAGGTTAAGAAAATCAACTTTATAGCTGTAGTATGCGGTAGGTGCTTAGCATAGTGCCTGACACATACTGAGCCCTTAATAAATGTTTATTGATTGACTAGGCATAATTCTATAGAAGGTTGATAAAAGACATAGGAGGTGAGGTGGACTCTATGTTCAATGCGCTTTTATACTCTAATGTGTCACTTTAAAAAAAATTAACGTAATTTAGGGCTGCATTCAGACAAGCATAGCTTCCAGGAATAAGGCAGTGATAATCTTTCTGTATTCTGCCCTCCACAGATGAAGTTTGAAGTATTATGTTTAATTTTGAGAGTCTCAGTTAGAAAAGAAAATTGATACAGCTCAGAGTGCCCGGAGGAGGGCCACCAGGATAGTGAAGGTCCTTGAGTCTACATCATTTAGGGATATGTTGAAGGAAGAGAGCATTTAGCTTGGATAAGAGAAGACTCAGAGAGAACATGGTAGCTATGTCCAAATATTTGAAGGATTATTAAATGGAACAGAGATAACTAGTTCTGTTTGGCTTGAGAGGGCAAAATGAGAATCAGTGAGCATAAATTGAAAAGAGGAAAATTTAGGGTCAATGTCAGGGAAAACCTCTTAGCAATTAGAACTATCCAAAAATGGAATGGCTTGCTTCAGAGGAGTGTCAGTTTCTTCTTTTTGGAGGTCTTGAAGCAGAGGTTGGATAAACACTTATTTCTGTGTTATCTTAGACATTCTTTTTGGCTCTTGGATTAAATGAATTCTGAGTTTCCTTTAAATTCTAAATTATTTGCCTTGCTCAGGGTGTGACATGTGCTCTTGCCCCACTCTCAGGGCCAGACCTGTTAAATCTCCCCCTCTAAGGGTTCTCAGGCACCTTGAGGAGTTTGGAAGTCTCTTTTCTCTGCTATTGACTCAAACCAGACTCCCCCTCCCCCTCAGTTGTGTTCTATCCCTTTTAGGGAACCAGTAACTAGCACCCAAATTTCATCTAATTACTTGGATAAATGGAATTTTTTTTGCTATTCAGTAGTTGTGATAGTCTTTGCATAATTAACATTTGAGAAGAAGAGAGTCAAAGACCTGGGGCACCCCTTCTTTAAGGAATGGTGACCCAGGAAAGTGGCTTTCACACAGAAATTATTTCCCCTAGATTGGAAATATTTAGGGGGGGCAGATATAATTTTGTTCAATATCCCCTACCTGAGGAAAGCAGAATAGGCCAGTTTTATGGTCGAACTATCTTGCTCTCCTTTAAGCCGGAATCAAAGTCTCTCTTGCAGAGGGGTGAGAGAGATTCCAGAGATAGCTATGGATGACCCTGAACTCACTCAGCATCTTTCCTTTTCATCCCACACTACTGGCAATGAGTTTTCACTAGCAGACCCAAGGACAGAACACAGGCTTACATTAAAATCCATTCCTTGACTCTGGCCTCCCTCCCTCTTTCCAGTGCTGTAAAGACCCCAGCTTCAGGCTGTGGAAGTTTCGTTGGGTCTTGACAGCCAGTTTGGTCATAGCCCTTTAGGAGCAAAAGCCAGGTGTTGGAAACACCTGGGAGCACCACCACTTCAAAACCACAACCTGGAAGCACCAACACTTCAAAACTCTGAACTGATGGTGCTCAGTCAGAGAACTAAGGAACAGAGGGAGTCATAGAGGTCACCAGGACAAAACACTGAGCATGTAGGGAGCTGTATGGGACTTGGCCAAGTCTGAGGGAAGAGCACAATGCCTAGCTGGGGCCAGTTCTGACCCCTCAAAAATCACTTGGGGCAGAGATCTAGGTTAGTGAATCATTAATTTTCTAGTTTGGGAGGATACGGAGACTCTTTGAGATCCAATGTCTAGGAAACCACTATCAGAAGGGAGGGAGTCAGGAAGTGAGTTATAAGGAAAATAAGAGAGGGAGGAAAGACTGAAAGTACCAAAGATTTTAGGAAGAAAAAATCTCAAAGATCTTGAACATAAACAAATACATCAACAGGAAAAGCGGTAACAACAGAAGGGAATATGGCCTCCATATTTAGTAAAAATGAATTCAGGTATCCATGAATAAATACTACAAAATGAAGGAAAATGATCCAACACTTGATGAGACAGGGGACCCTGGGGAATTTGAGGAAAACAGGGAATCACAACAAGCCATTTCTGAATTGTTTAAAAGAGAAATGCAAATTATGAGAGCAGAATTTGTGTCTTGTAACAGCAAAAATAATGAGCAGAGGAGATATTATGAAGGTAGAATCAGTAGGACTTCACAGACTAGATATGGAGAATGGCAGAGAATGAGGAATCCAGGATGATGCCTGGGTTGTGAGCCTGGGGGTCTGGGAGGATGGTGGTGGCCTTGACAGAAATGGGTAAGTTTGGAAAAGGGGGAGTATATGGGACAAAAGATACTAAATTTAATTTTAGAGATGTTGAGTTTAAGATGTCTATTGGAAATTTAGTTTGAGATGTCTGATAGGCAGTAAGGGATGAGAGAATGAAAATCAACAGGAAGGTTAGGGTTGGATAAGTAGATTTGAAAATCATCACCATAAAGATGGTAATTGAATCCCTAGGAGCTAATGAGATCACTGAGTGAAATAGTATATAGAGAGAAGAGAAGTGAGTCTGACAGAGATCTGTGGGACATCTATAGTTGGTGGGTATATCCTGGATGAAGATCCAGCAAAGGAGATTGAGGAGGAGTGATTAGATAGATAGGAGGAGGACCAGAAGAGAACAATGTCTTAGAAAACCTAGAGATGAAAGAATAGCTGCAAAGAGGTCAAGAAGGATGAGAATTAGGGATGGGTAGGTGGCACAGTGGATAGCGCTCCGGCCTTGGAGTCAGGAGGGCCTGAGCTCAAATATGGCCTCAGACACTTGACACTTACTAGCTGTGTGACACTGGACAAGTCACTTAACCCTGATTGCTTCCCCAAAAAGAAAAAAAAGGATGAGAATTGAGAAAAGGCCATTGGGTTTAGCAATTAAGAGATCATTGGTAATTTTTGAGAAAGCAATTTTGGTTGAATAAGGTTGAGAGCTTGATTATAGAGAGTTAAGAGAGTAAGAGGAGAGGAAGTGGAGGTGCTTATCTTAGATGGACTTCTCAAGGAGTTTAATCACAAAAAACAGGAGATTTGAGATGACAGTGGGGATGGAAAGATCAAGTGAGGACTTTCTGAGGAGAGAAGCATAAGCATATTTATAAGTAGTAGGGAAGTTCATGGTTATCCATTGGTGGAGTACAGGAGAGATTAATGGGAAAACCAGTGGCTCTTTATTTGTTTTTTTTTTAATTAATTTATTTTGAATTATCAACAATCACTTCCATAAGCTTTTGATTTTTAAATTTTTCTCCCCCTCCCTCCCAACCTTTCTCCCCAAGATGGTGTGCAATCTGATATAGGCTATACATATATATTCATATTAAACATATTTTCACATTAGTGATGTGGTAAGTAAGAATTAGAACCAATAGGAGGAACCACCAGAAAGAGGAAACAAGACACAACAGAAGAAAAAAAATAGCAAATAGTATGCTTCGATCTGCATTCAAACTCCGTAGTTCTTTCTTCTTTGTGGATAGCGTTTTCCATCATGAGGCTTTTGGAGATGTGTTAGATCCTTGTATTGCTGAGAAGGGTGAAGTTTATCAATATTAGTCATTGCACAACATGGCTGTTATTGTGTACAACATTCTCTTGGTTCTGCTCACTTCACTCAGCATCAGTCCTTACAAGTCTTTCCAGGTTTTTCTGAAGTCAGCCTGCTCATCATTTCTTATAGCACAATAGTATTCCATTGCATTCATATACCACAACTTGTTCAGTCATTTCCCAATTGATGGGCATCCTCTCAATTTGCAGTTCTTTGCTGCCAGTGGCTCTTTAACCAGAATTTCACCAGCTGGGAAGTCTGGAGGTTAGAGGCCACCCTCAAAGCTTGAAGGGATGTTTTTATTTTATTAATAATTCTTACATCTTTATAGACCTTCAAAAATTCAGAACTTTAAACCAAATCTTCAGCTTTCGTTTTTTGCCTCTGGCCTAAAGTGAATCACAGGCAAGCTGCAGGTGTGTATGACCAAGTACTATCCCATTCCCGTTCTGAAAAAAAAAAAAAAAAAAAGCAGGGGTGGGTAGGAATGGAGGGCAGAGGCAGAGTAGTCTGAGAGGATTGGTCTACTCCTGCTCCTAGAAAGATTAGGTTAGAGTGGCAAATATACTCCTTGGCCCACTGCCACCCGTTGGCATCATAGAAACAAACTAAACAATAGAAACCACTTTAAAATATGGAATACTAAATATTCATTTAAGATTGAGCAACACTTTTGAGTGTATTTTTCTTCTGTTCTGTTAGTGGAATCCTTGTCAGTTCTCTAAGTATTCAGTAGTCCGCCTTCACTTTGTGGGCACTCAAAATACTCAGTTACTGACTGAGTTTGTCAAATTCAACTATGTTTTGCTCATGTCCAATGCCTACGATTGTAGAGGGACAGGATCAAGCTTTCTTTGGGACAGGAGGAAGGGGAGTGGTACTCATCTAATAAACCTTTTTTAGGCAGAAATATGCACAAAAATTTAATTGAGCTGTGATGACAGGATTTCTTTGTACATTCTTTTAGTAAAGAATTTAGTTATGATTTGTTTTAATTTAGTTATAATTTGAATTATCTTTTTTTTTAACTGCAGTTCAAGTTGGACAGGAACACTAAAGAAATAGCAATTGCTACTGGACTTCATGTGACAGCCACTGTGACTTATCAGCCTGTTAAAGAAGAAGACAGTTTTGACAAAATATGTATTTTAGTAGGAAGAAGAAAAATAACAATTCCACTGATTGGGTATGTCATCTATATATTTTGGTGCCAATATTTTCATAACTCTCCAAAGAAAAATGCAATCTCTAAGTAACATTTGACCTTTTTTTAATTTAAAAACTCATTTTAACTTTGTTTTCACCATAGCCTAACTAAAGGGACACACTTTTAGAATATTTTGATGATCCTTAAGATTGATGTGCGAGAAAATTTTGCCTATATTTTGAAAAAAAATTGGCCTTTTATTGTTACTATATTAAGTTTCAATCAAAAAGATGTTCTTTTATCTTGCTTCATGGAGCACTCTCATTAAAAATAATCTATTATTTAGAGTGTATCTTTGTAGTCCAGCTAATATTTTATTTAATTTGAAAAGCAGCATAATGGATCCACTTAACTCTTTTGTAAATAATGGAGAAGGTACATCGGATTTTAGAAGAGCAGTGAAAATGCTGTTATTCTGAGACTACATGAAATGTGTGGGTATCTAAGTATGGTGAACTGAGTAACTGTCTTGGCACTATTGCTCAAGTATTAGATATTTGTCTAGGTAATTACACTTTCATTTTAAAGGAGAAAATTAGCTTTTCTCTTTAATCTTAAATTTACTGTTGAAGCCAGGTGGTCATGCTTTTCAGAGCAATCTTTTCACTTTCTTCTCTGAAAGTAGCTTTCCAATGCGTCATGATGGCATAGACTTTTGGTTCTTGAAGACTGTGCCAGTAGAGTCCAAGCTCTGGCAGGTTCCAGTGACCAGCCGATGGGCCGTCCACTAGGTGATTAATCCTTTGGTTCTGGTTATTCCAACTCAGGGAACAGAATAAAATGGAAATAGCCCTTGGTGATCCGTGCTTCTGTAGTAAGATTAGTGGAGAAGAAAAAAGTGACTGGAAGTTCCAAGAATCAGTTTTTAGACCCTCTGTGTACACTAATTTGGTATTCTAAGGATGAGATTCTTATCATTGGTCAACAAAGTGATATATTACTGGAGGAATTGGATCTTACTAACATTTACATTCATTCTCTAAATGAAACTAGAGACATAAGGAAATGTTGGTTCATAGGTTCATTTTAGGGGGAAAAAGGAATTGACTGAGTTGGTTTTATCTTTGTGGTACAGAAGAATGTTGAATCACAGTCCTCAAGTTCTAATTACAACTCTGTCACTCTCTGTGTGACACCTATGGCAAGTCACTTAGGCTCCGTGAGTGAGAGTTTCCTATGAAATGAGGGGATTGGAATAAATTATCTCTGAAGTACTTTACAGATCTAGATTTATGGTCCTATAATCCTATGCCTAAAAGGCAGCAAGAAAGATCATTTCATCGGACACTTGGTTATCTCACAGTGTATAGAACAAAAAAGGCCCCTAAGATAATTGCAGTTTACCTGCTCTGAGTAATTGTGGAGGATAGCCAAGTGGAGAAATGCTACAAAGAGCTTCCCAAACTTCTCTAAATCTTATTAGCATATACATTGATTCTTGGTGGACTCAATGTTAAGATGGACACAGGGAAAGATGTGAAAAGCACTTTGGGAAATACGGTTTAAGATTAAGAAATGAAAAGACACCAAAGGCTTATATGTGGTCAGTTGGAAATCTTGAGCTTGTATATCATGAATACTTTAAAAAGAAGAATTGGAAATTATGGATATAGTAAATATTGAACAATAATGTCCTACAAAAGGATATTAGGCCAGAAATAATTGGTTATTTGTATGGGAATAGTTTCAAAATTAGTGGTCAGCATGCAGTCTAACCACTGATAGAATAAAGGGCAAAATCTAACTTCAAGTCGAAAGGAAGGATAAAGAGGAGAGGATACTGAGTATAGTCCTAATATGACCTTTTCATACAAGGCATTTTCACCAAAAAATGGAAAATGGGTAACAGAAAAGATATGGTGGTCAGTAGTAATTCTGCTTTGGAATAATTTTATTTGCCAATTGTTATGATGGAGGACTATGGAAGATTATAAGTAACATCACTTCATGAAGTAGTGAATAGTGTGGCTTACAAAAATCTTGGACAGAAAGTCAGCTAAAACAGATCACCCTTGGGATATTTGTAAATGGAACTTCAGTAAACAATTCTGCTGTGTGCATTTGAGTAATTATAATCAACACACGACAATTAGTAAACATTAAATGCCAACTGTATGCCAGGCACAGTGCTATACATTGGGGTTACAAAGACCAAATGAAATAACCTGTTCTCAGAGAGCTATCATGGAGATCTATCATGGAAGATAACATGAGCACATTAATACATGTAAAATATATGCAAGACAGATAAAAAGTCATTTTTTTGTAGCCTATGCAAAGGTATGGAGATGGAGATAGAATGTTGGGTGTGAAAAGCATCATACAGGCCAGGTTGGCTGGACCAGAGATGGTGTGAAAAACAGTAATCAATCAGGAAGTATTTACTAAATGCCTGTTATGTGCCTTTACTGGAGTAGGTGCTGCAGACACAAGCAAAAGAGTCAAATCTTTAACTTCAAGGAGCTTACATTTTAGTGAATAAAAGATAAATTGTAATCATTTTATGAAGGGTTTTCAGGGTCAAACAGAGGAGAAAGTATTTGATCCTAGAAGTAATGGTGGTTTTGAGCTCATTCCATATGAAGATCAGTTGAAATAACTTGGGTTGTTTCACTTAGAGAAGAATCAAGGGAAGCATAGTAGGTTATGTTCATGTATTTGAAAGGTGGAAGAGGGATTCAGGTTGTTCTGTCAAATTCCAGAGAGTAGAACTAAGCAATGAATGAGGGAAGTTGCAAAGAGGCAAATTTAAGTTTGTTAACAAAAAAAACACAACAACTTTCTAACAATCAGACCTGTTAAAAATTGGAATGGGCCACCTCAAAAGGTCTGGGTTTCCCCTCTGTGGAGGTCTTTAGTCAAAGGCTGGATGATCAGTTGCTGGAAATATTTTCAAGGGGAATCCTTCTGGGTATGAGTTTTTATGAGTGGCCACTGAAGTCCCAATTCCAAATTTCTGTGATTCTGTAATAGGGAGCACTGTAATGTAATAGGAAGGCATTGATTAGGAGAGTGACATCACCAGACTTGTTTATTAGGAATTCACTTTGGCAATTATGTGGATAGACTGGAAGGGTCAGAGACTTGAGGAAGAGAGGCCAATGAGGAGCCTATTATAATAGTGCAGGTGAAAGGAGATTAGGGCCCGCACTAGGGTAATGGCCATGTGAGCAGAGAGAAGGAAATGGATGTAAGAGATATTTTCAGGTAGAACTGGCAAGACTCGGCAACTGATTGGAAATGTGGGTTGAGGGAAAGTAAGTAGCCAGTGATGACACTTAAGGGTCATGAACCAAAATGGCTGAAAGGGTGGTTCTGCCTTTGAAAGAAATACAAAAACATTTGACTTAGTAAGCAGAAAATTAATCTCTGACGTTTACTAGTTGTGTGGCTATAGGCAAGTCACTTAATCTCTCTGAGGCTCAGGCAGTTCTCTAAGACTCATCTTGCCAAGTTAAGCACAGATGCTGTGAGAGTTCCATACCCATAAAATCACAGCTCCTTGAAGTATCCCCGTTTTCCTTCATCTAAGTGGCAATGATTGGACAAAAAAATTCATATCATTATTTGAAAAAACCATGATGTAGAATAAAAGTGTGTATCATTTTGAAGAAAAAAAAAAGCTCTTAAAGCTCTTCTCTGAGAGTATTTCCTTATACTATATGTTAAGTTCACATGAGATGACTTGATAGATGTTAACAAAGAAATAACTTTGTTTAACAGTCCTCTAACATCAATCGAGGCTAATTCAACACACTCACTAATGGTGTTTGCTGTTGTCATAGAGGATGTCTTGGGCAGTCTGAATGGAGAAGAGATAAATGGTGAAGTCTTTTGGAACTTGGCTCCTAACCTTGTGTTGATTCTATTTAGCTTTAGAATACTACAAGACTTCCTTAATTAGATTCTTGGCCATTTTAACTCAATTTAACCATCCTCATAGGAAACAACCACCACCACCTCCATAACAGGAGGAAAAATTCGGTTATCCATGAAGTGAGAAGGATAGCCCATTGAGTTAACTAAAATATTTTAATTGGCAGTGCAGATAGACAATGAGCTGATCCCAGAATTGAACAGGAGGAAGACAGCAGGTTTAATTGCTTTTGAAAAAAAATGTAGCGCTGTATTTATTTATTTTCCCTTTTCCTTTTCCTTCTTTAAATTTTTCTTTTTATCATGAAGGATTGCTATCTGGTAGGGTTTGGGGGAAAGACTACAATAGGAAATATGCCAATTTTTAATGATCCCAGGTTTCTCCCTGACAAAAACTGCTTTATTAATACCAATATTTTCTCAGTTGGTATATATGAGTTGACCTCTACGGCTGGACAGTGATTTGGGTTCATAGTTGAACAGCAGGAAGAGAATGGACTGGATTGTCTTTAGGAAATTGCAGAGTTCCTTTAATAGCCTCAAGTTTCCCCGTGAAAACAAGGCTTATCTTTTAAATATTAATATTCTACCCACATGCTGCATGATAATCAGAGACAAAGAATATCTGTGAATTATAAATGAACTTCATACAGAGAGCATTGGAGAGGCACATGGTAGGTGTTTACAGGCTGCAATACATAATTTATGAAAAACTTAAAAGAATAGGAGTCAAAGATTGTTATTTGTCCTTTGTTCTCAAAGAAGGCCAATAACATCACGGGGTTGCACATGAATTGGATTTAAGTGAGGCAGAGTTCTGCAAAGCCATCAGCCTCACTCTCTCCTTCAAAGTCATTGGAGTCCAGTGGCAAGACAAAAGTCAAGACGACTGGAGATGGCCCAAAAGTAAAAGATACCATCAAGCCAATGTACAATAACCAGAGAAGATGGGTGGGTGAGGGTGAGGGATGACAGATAGATAGTCAGAGTACCCTACTTTTACCTTTGAAATAATACAAGAAAGAGAGAAAAACCATTGGCAAACTTATGGGAAGAACTGGACATGAGTTAACAAGGAAGGTCAGACCTGAATGGATTGCTCTCTGCCTTGTTGGAAGGAACTGCTAAACTGATAAAATCACGGATCCATTTATTTGAGTACTTGATTATTCTCCTGGTATTGCTGTATGACTCCAAATCATGTAATGCAATAATCTCTGAGGAATAAAAAATGCAGGTGACCCAGAAGACAATGGAGTGATTGATGATGGGTATAAATAGGCAAGGCATATTATGTGTTTGTGTAAAGGAAGTTTCATTAAAGGTATTATTAAGAACTGTATGATCAGAAAAGGAAATAGATTAGCCATGTAGCAAAGTAAAAGTAAAAAAGTAAAAAAAAAATAAAAAAGTAAAAATATACAAATAATACACACTTGGTAAATGTCTGTTGAATTAAATATGGACACAACCTGGGTGCTCAAATGGCTTCATGGAATTTGGTTGCCTTCTTTTTGGAGCCAAAAGAACTACAATGATGTGCATACATTTCTTAGAGGAAGGCCTCCTGTGTATTGGGAGAATTCTCTGTGGAGGATTTATGGGACGAGTCATACAAGGTGGAAAACTATACAGAATCTATATTCGGTTAATTTTTCTAGTTATTACATCCAATTTTGTATTTGTCAACTTAGTTAAAAATTTTTTCCTGTATTTTTCCAATTACATAAATTAGATTTTAATACTTTATGACTCATTTCTTTCACATGCCAAATTGATTAGGATTGCTGATTTGGCTAATTATTTAATTCTGCTGTATTAGAACCAAATAATTGCAATATGAACGGAACCAAATAGGCTATAGTTTAATGCAATTAAAAGTAAACCTTTTTATTAGTATGTGGTTACATTTCAAAATTCATATTTTGGGCTTTTAATCTATTGATGCTAAATCTACATCAAGAAACTAAAGACTTTTTAACTCTTAAGGGGCACAGATGAATCTGTAGTTATCCTTTCTATGTCGTGGGAGTTAGGGGAGCTGTGCCACTGTGATCTGGAAAATCCTCATAAAATTTTTTGGCCCACCTTTCATACCAGAGAAGAAGTCTGAATTTTTTCTTTTTTTTATGGGTTATTTATAGGACTCTATAGTAAAATTTGGGTTATATATTTCTGAGTTTCTAAACTTTTTTTCTGTGTTGTCTGCTGGCCTTTGTGTGTCATCTGCGCCTTTCACAAAACTCCCCCCAAATTCGCATCAATTAATATATTGAGACTGTGAAGGGGAAAGTCATGATGGGGAAGGGATAACTGTATCCTTATAAAGATTTGTGCTCTTTAAATGATACACATTTCAAAGCTACAAGTAAAAACCATTGGTTTTTAGGGTTGTTTCTCCCAGAAACAAGGGAGAAAAATGTGCATCCAGTGAAAATTAAGCTTATTCTAGACAACAGATACAGTTACACATGGTGACCTCCCCTATCCCCTGGAAAAAGGCATATAAATGCCTGTGTTTATGGACGTGTGTCTGTCTTGAGCTCTCTTCCCTTCTCTCTTCACTCTCTCACATGGTGACTGAATTAGCTTCCATGAATTTTATTATTACCTCTATACACAAAACTATCAGATATATGTATCCAGCGTGAATCTCTCCTGAGCTCCAGTTCCCTATCACCAAGGTTACAACCTCTGTGTTATCCTTGCTTCTCATTCTTACCCCACATATGCAGACAGTTGCTAAGTCTTGTTTTTACTTCCATGAGATCAATCACCTCCTTACCTTTCTCTACTCCTGCACAGCCACTATCCTAGAACTGGGCCTTATCACATTTCTCCTGGACTTTTGCAGTCAGTGCCCTCCTAATTGATCTCTCTGCTCCAACTTGCCCACTCTAATCTGTATTTAGACATACTGTTGTCAATGTGATTTTTGCTCAAGCCCAGATCTAATCACATCATCCCTCCACCTTTACCCTCCACCCCCTACCTCTCACTCAGTAACCTCTAGAAATCTTTTTTTTTTTACCACTAGGAGTGAATAGAAACTCCTCTGTTTGTCATTTAAAGCCCTTTACAACCTGGTCCCAACCTACCTTTCCAGCTTTATTCCATAGTGTTCCCCTTGGTGGACTCTATAGTCCAGTCAAACTGGTCTTCTTACTGTTTCTCATAGATAACATTCCATTTTCCATAACTATAGTTTTGCAGTGGCTTGTTTCCCTTTCCTGGGATGGCTATCCTTTAGGCCTCAGCCTCTTAGAATCCTGGTTTCTTCCCAAACTCAATTTAAGCACTCCCTGTACATTAAACCATTCCTAATCTCAATAGCTAGTACTCATTTCCCGCTTCCCCATTACATTGTATCTACCTATATAAGTATATTCAAGAATATATAAATATATATGTACATATATATTTATATATTCTTGTATTCTATAATATAACTTAAGTTCTCAGGGGGCAAGAATGTTTCATTTTTGTTTTTGTATCTCCAGTGCCTATGCAAAGTACCTGAGGACATAGTAGGTACTTGATTGTAGGTAATAATAATAGCTAACACTTATATAGCACTTACTATGTGCCAGGCACTGTGCTAAGCAGTTTGTAATTATTATTTCATTTGATCTTCACAACAACCCTGAGAAGTAGGTTTTATTATCTCCATTTTACAGATGAGGAAACTGAGGCAAAAAGACTTGCCCAATGTCACACAGTCAGTAAGTATCTGAAGCTGCATTTGAACTCAGTTCTTTCTGACTCCAGGTCCTAGCATTCTATCCACTGCACCACCTTGCTGCCTCATAGTATTTCTTGATTTGTTTCTCATTTGCTTTATGTAATGTGCAGTATGGTGGCACTGGTAAATGTCTATCAACTGACTCTCTGAAAACACAAGACACCCTTTTAAGTTTAATCTACATAATTAACATTTTTTTGGCCATCACTTTCTTAAGTCTACACAATCAACAGAACAACCACTCAAGCTCTGATCTGTAGCATTTTTCTCACACTGAAAATTTCAAGAGCCAATTGGAGGGGGCTTCTACACAGCCCTGGGTATGACTGTATAAGAATTATTAAAAAAAAAAATTACTAAGACTTCTACATTCAAATGAGGAGTGCATCCTCTAAAGTCATTTTGGGTAATTTTATATTTATTTCAGTGATGTAACCATTTCTAAAGACCTTTTTAGCGTACTTCTTTTGTAATTGCCTTAAGAATCACTTTATGAGCTCCCTAGGGGGGAAAAATTGATGGATAGATGTAACATTACATCTCATTTTTTATTTAATTCGACTAATATTTACTGAGTACTTGCTATAATCTAGACACCAGCTTGATAATTTATGTTCTTCATCAGACTTAATACTGAGTTTCTTTTGGCTGTTTCTAAAAGTAAAATGTCCTTCTGAAGGATAAAAATTTGCCAGTACTAAAGATATCAAAAAGTATATGTTATAAGTTTTTATAAGATGATATAAGAACGAAGGGACCTTGTGGAAAGTTTGTTTTTATTATTATCTTTGAGTCTTTAACACTTAACATCGCATTTACAAGTAGTAGGTACTTAAATGCTTATGGAATTGAAGTTTTTTTTCTTCAAATTTCATTTGACTACATATATGCATACAGTCTTCTATATACAGTATGTAGAATACATAACATTGTTACAAACTTCTAAAGTGTCTAGTTTGAAGGGGGCAATATGAATTTGTACATAGAACTTTTATGTATGGTAAAATAAAAAAACTAATTTAATCATTTTACAATTCCAACTCATAATTTGAAATTGTTGTCATTGATTTAATAGACTTGCAAGGAAATGAACATAACTTTTACTAGTAAAGGTCTCCTTTTTTCCCCCATCCAGGTTGATTCCATGCTGTCATTTGGAAATTGAGTCAAAAGTTAATTTTGGCACAATCACAGCTAATGGTAAAGCAATTTGTAAATCGATTAACATTATTAACCACGGAACAATTCCAGGTAAATGTTTGCTGTCATCTAAAATCACTTTAACATTTTGAAAGTGAATGTTACTTGAAACTTCCAACATGTGTTAGATTAATAGGTTTTCTGATTCATCTTAAAAAAAGTTCTTAGCGTCTGGGATGGCACAAACCTGAGAGCCATTAGATGGCCATTCTATAATAGCTTAATGGACCTGCTGCATCAAGACCCAGATTAAAATGTATTGTGAGGAAACCTCATGTACTGATATTCCTGTCTCTAGAACTTTAACTTGTAATTTTTCTTCTTAAGTTTCTAGGGAAGAAGCCTCCATAGGTGTTTTTACTGCTGTGTTATGGCCTAATGGTAGCAATAAACCTGTTGTAAAAGTTTATTACAGCTGTATACAGTTTATTTTTATATGGCTGTATTAATGTAATTTTAATTGCTGATTCATGAGTCTCTAGAGATGAGATGACTAGGGGTCTTTTGTGACAACCTTAAAATGCCTATATTACAGTTTTAGAATCTCCATTAGGTTGGACAGCAGTGCCATCAGGGTCTTCGCTTTTTTTGGCTCTTCTAGGTAGCTCCTAAATCATAGCCAGTACTGCATTAATGATAATAGCAGTCCTGCTCACATTTATAAAGCATGTCAAGGTTTATAAAGCACTTTCATCATAACCATCCTGTGAAGTAGATAGTATATTGTTTCTATTTTACAGATGGGGAAACTGGATTTTAGGGAAGGTAAGTGACACACTGTAGGTCAGTGGTGTCAAACACAAATAGAAACAGAGACCACTATGCCTTATGTAAGGATCCCTGAGGGGGCCATATTGAATTAGAAAACTTCATATTAATATTAATTGGGTTCTATCATATATATATAATTGCATATTATATGTTATATTATATAGAAAGATAACATAAAGAAAGGATAATATATAATATATAATATATATAACATGTTATCTATATATATACACACACATACATCTACATCTATCTATCTATCGAAGGAAATGGTAAACTACTTCAGTGTCTTTGCCAGTATCTTTCTCAAATGAGGTCACAAAAAAGTCAGACATGACTGAAACAATTGAACAATTGTATTTTTATTTGTGTTGTTAAATATTTCCCAATCACATTTTAATCTGGCTCCAGATGCACTCAGGAGTGTTGAGAGAGGCATGTTTGACACCTCTGCTCTAGGTTACATGACTAACATCTACAGGCAGGTCTTTTCTTGACTTGAAGTTCAGTGATTTGTGTGTGTGGGTGTGTTAGTATTTCTTTTAATTTAAGCAATGTAAATGTAGTGTCCAAAAGCATACAAATGCTACAGAACCCTTTTTGACCCTGACTTTCAGTAATGAGCATTAAAGCAAAATTTTGTTTTGATATTGCAGACAACTTTTCAAAAACCATTTGAACCACACCCAATAAGGACATTCCCCCAAAATAGTTAAGCAAAACTGCCTTAATGTTGATTGGGAGCATATACTACTTTCATTTTGTATTTGTCATAAAAAAAAGACAAGTCTCTGTTTCACATAGGCTATAAACACAGGGGCTACTCATCTCCCAGGCTGTCTTACTCTGACTAGCATGGGAGCTTTGACCCACGGCATTTTTGACCTGGGCCAGTTCTTCTTTAGGCAATCTGGTGGTGCCCTGATTCTGAAGGCTCCCTTAGTGTAGACACCTGATTGGCTTAGCCCACCGCAGCTCAGAACTCTTGAGCTCAAGAGATCCACTATCCTGAGCCTCCTCTGGAGCAAGGAATACAGGTGTTTGTGTGTGTCATCACTTGTTAAAAGAAAGGAGAAGTTTAACTTTAAGTTTAACTAAATTGTTATATTTCACTTGAGTTTTGTTACCATTTACTAGTGTCTTCATAATTTTGTTATAATTTTGCGTTCTTTTGGATCTTAACTGCACCTCTTCAGATTTTTCTGAGTTCTTTGTATATTCATTATTCCTTACAGTATGACAATATTCCATTAGCATTGTTAATTGAGCTGTTCCTTAGTCATTGGCATACTTTGTTTCTAGACTACTTTGTCTTCTCAGGCAGTACTGCCATATTTTTATGCATATGGACCTTCCCTCCCCCACCCCCACCTTTAGCTGTTCTTGCTCTCCTTAGGGTATAAACCTGATTGTGGGATCTCTTTGTCAAGGGGTGTAAACAGTTTGGTAACTTACCTTACATAAGCACCAGGACTATTTCTATTTTGCATTTTACTTCCTGGCCCTTTGCCGCTAAGACTAACCCAGAACCAAGTCTCTTGCTATTCATTGTCTTCTTCCTTTCTCACTCTGCCTTCTTTTTTCATTATGCTCCATGGAATCTTGTTTTATTTATTCAATTAATCAACTATATCAATCAAACATCATTTATTGATCACTTACTTTTCGTCAGTTGCTGTGTTAAGTGCTGAGGATGCAAAGATAAACAAACTAGACAATCCCTACCTTGAAGGAGCTTATATTTTAATGGATGAAGAACTGTACATAAAGGGAAACTGGAAAGATGGAGAGGAGAGAGGAGAATACCTTTGTGGGCCCAAGGCAGCTGGTGAGGAGGTAGAGAAGTCTTGAAAGGGAGTTGAACCAGGAGTGAAGTGAGCATAGTAGGGCCCCACAAGAAATGGTGGTCTGGGCTAGTGAATCACCAGTCAGGATAGTAGGCCTCCAGACAGAAATTTCTCTGTAATAGAGGAAAGATCCAGAGAAAGGTCCTCAGCTCATTGAGGAGATGCTTTTTGTGGTAGATCAGGGAACTGACAAGAATCTCACAAGATAGGTGACTGATGGATTCATTGAGGTCCTGATGAGTATTTAATATAATAAACTTCATTACTCCTCTATTTCTTTCCCAGCATTTTTATGTCTGTATAAGTCTTGTAACATGACTCTTATGTTCTTTTCTGGGGTTTCATTGACTCATATTTACTTGTTCTTAATTTCATTGGTTGTTTCTTTGATTTTGGCCTATGTACTGGTCCTGGGTGAAAATGATTTCCATAATTCTTTTTAACACATAGGGTGATCCAACTGCAGGGCTGAACACTGGGCAAACCAAATTTTCTCCAAGCATTGCTGAAATATATAATCTAATCTCACTGGAAGTCTGGATGAAAACCCACCTCTAAGTCTCTGAATTCATAGGATACTTAGAATTCTCCAGTGGATCTCTTCTAACCAATAGGGCAATCAGATGAAGGTCCAGACAAAATCTCTCCCAAAAATAAAAAGGCCTTACCCTTTTGATTTTTTCCCCAATATCAAATACACTGGACAATTCAATCAGAGTTACAAACACATAATAATAAGACAATTAGGCATTGTTCATAGAAAGAAAACAATCTTTAATCAGCCCCCTAAAAATTTGGAGCCCTGTTCCCTCCCAAAGGGATTGTTGATAGATATAAATTCATTGGAATAAGCTCATGAGGATGATTGGAATAAGGGACTCAAAGTCCTTCATTCTCCTCTCTGTCTTACAATAAGAACCTTTGCTGGGCCCAAGAGACTAGGTTCATTCTTCTGCTGTGATATAGAATCTTTGAATCTCTTATCCACATAAAATGACCCCCCAAACTTGGACACAGACATCTCAGGATAGATATTTATATTTACTTACATTTATGTATACTTACTTATGGTCAGAGAATAACAAACCCAGAAGAGGTAGCCCCAAACCCAGGATCAGGTTTGCCCAGGTAGGACACAGGATGAGTTTGTCATGAGCCTACAGATGCATGACTAGTGGGGTGGGAGCTAGGGTGAGTGGCCCTTTGCTCTCACCCCCAGTGGAAAGCAGCTCAAAATAGCCTCATAGGCCAGCATGGAAGACATACAAAGAGAAGAGGAGTTAGTTTTTTTTTAAAGTCCATTTAGTTATTGGCTCTTTTGAGCAGCTGATGAGGAATCACTTTTTCATTTCAAAGTGTAAGAATCTTTTAGCTCTGAGTAATATATATGGTCAGAGTCAGGAATGGCCACTTTGTACATGCTCTGTTAATCTCTCATTACAAATATACACTCTATTCTCACTTAGTAGGAATATCACTTCTTTTGTTACATAAATCAAGAAATAAAATTGGGCTGTAGTTTGGTGTTTATAGTTTTCTCTCCCTTGGTTTATGAAAAAGCAGCAATATAAGATTTTATATTATGAATATTTATTTTTTTCATGTCTGTAGCGACTGGATTACTAACTGTTGTACTTGAAATTCAGGGGATTATTATCTGGGAAATTGTAATTGTTGTTCCCTTATGAATGACACACGCACACATATACATACATATGCATATAAATTTTTTTTTGCCTTGACTTTGTCTTTTATTCTTTGAGTTGATTCAAAGGATTGTTTCTCATTTTTACAAAAATTAATATTATATATTATACCAATTGTAGTGCCTACAAAAGATTACAATGTGTATATTATATGCAAATGTTACATTAGTATTCATGAATAGATCAACACATGTTCATGAAAGAAAGACTACTTCAAAAATAGATTAAGTGACTAATTAGGAAATGATTCTCAATTCTTGAATGTAGGTGTTATACTGCATTGCTTTTTTGTGGAGAAACTGCAGTGAGCTGATATGTTAGTCATATTAAATCTTATTTCATAATTTTAGAAATAATTGTGAAAGAGTAAAGTTTAGGCAGCCCCATATTGGTTTGCCTTAGTAGTTATTCTAAAAATAATAATCCAAACTTTTGTTTTACTTTTCTACTATTTTATTTAATAAAAACAAACTCAGGACTTCAAGTCGCTAAATGAGGAATAATACCAATTCAACCACCATTGATTGGGTTTAATGATAAAATTATTTTACAACCTCACTCAAGATTTCCATTAATGCATCTGAGTATTTTTTTCATTGTTACATTGCCAATACGTGTCTATGACACTATATTTAGGAGGTGAATATTTTTACTGAATTCATGTCTTTTTCACGTCTTTTTTCCTTATAAAGCACCTTGCTTATAAATCCTGTGAAGTAGCTAATACAAAATATTATTAACCTTGTTTTCCATATGAGGAACTCAGACTCACAGAGATCAAGCGACTTGTTCAAAGTCACATCGCTATTTCTTGTTGGAGCTATTATTTGAGCCTAGGTCTGAACCTAAAATCAGTTGTTTGTTATATTTGTATTACACTTGGATTTATCTTTGTGAAAGAATTAGGTAATTGTGCAGTTATCTTTATATCTATATCTATTTATATATACACACACACACACACACATATATATATGTACACACACACCCATACATATATGTACATATATAGGATTGAATGGCATGACTTTGGTCTTGTTCACCCTCCAACCGTACCTTCTCCTTGCATTCCTCCTTTAAACTTTTGAGTATGTACAGAATTTCACTGAAGTTTTTTTTTATTTATTCATGAGTATTTAAGACTTTTAGGAACTATTTTAAAGAATAGGAGGTAAATGAGCTCAGAAGACTTATTTCCTGGAAAACTGTATACCAAAGCATCCATTCCCCAAATACTTCTTTTGTTCTTTGAAAAATTGTACACACAAAATTTTACTTATGCTTATTCTATTTCAGATTTAGAAAAAGGTTAATAAGATAATATTGAGAAAGATTTTGTTTCACATTGCTCAGAAAGGTGATTGAGTTTTCTAAGTTTGTTCCTGAGAATTTGTTGTTACCTTGACCCTCCTGGAGCTCCTTCAGAGCATGGATATAATGCATAGCTTTGTTGTCTTTTTTTAGTATAATTTTAGATTCCTTTTTAGTTAAAATGACTATAAGCTTAGGGGAAATGATAAAATGATATCGAACAATTTAAAACAGGCCCTGGACACTAAAAGAATATTATTTTATCACATATGTAATGTATGTGTGTGTATATATATATATATACACAAATGTATACACACACACACACACACATATATATGTATATATTTGGTTCAGGGATATAATTTCGTCAATATAAGAAACTCTCAATGTCGAAAAGTCCATCAATGTAGATTTGCAACTTGTCTGTAATTCGTATCTTAGAGAGTTCCCTGAGAACTAAAGGATGAAGTGACTTGCTCAAAGATAGTATGTGACAGAGACAGTACTTGGGTTGATGCCAAGGCTGCTCTCTTATCAACTATTTCATTTTAATAATTAAAATTTAATAAATTATGGTCATACTATATAATATGTTTAATAACCTTATCTTGTACATGATTTGCTTTCTAAGAAATTGATCTGCAACAGATAAAGTTGGTATAGTTAGAATTTAAAGAAAATATACACATTGGGGGAAAATTTCCATTAAACATCTAATAAAAATCTGACATCTAAAATCTATAGGTAATTGAAACAAATCTGTAGAATTATGAGACATTCTCCTGTAGAGAAGTGGTCAAAGGACATAAATAATTTTTTAAAGAAGTTCAAACTATCAACCACCATCTAGGAAAAATGCTTAAAAACCAGAGAAATACAAATACCCATCAAATTAGCAAAGTTTCCAAAGGTTGAAAAAAATCAATATTAGAGAGCCTGCAAGAAGACAGACACACTAATTTATTGTTGATGGATCTGAGGACTGGTTCAACTGTTCTAGAGAACAATTTGAAATTATGCAAAAACAGTGACCAAATTCTTCATACTCCTTGACACAGATATCTCATTTCTCTCTCCCAAGGAAGTTAATGCCAAGAAGAAAAGACCTATAAATACAAAAATATTTATAGCAGTGTTATTTATGATAACAAAAAACTAGTCATAAATGTATTCATTTGGGGAATGGTTGAGCAAATTGTGGTAAATGAATGTGATGGAAAATACTGTGCTCTAAGGAATGATGAATATGAATAATTCAGAGGAATGTAGGAAGATATGTGAATTGGTGTAGGTTTCTTGGGGGCAGGGACTATTTTATTTTTGTTTTTGTATTGCCAGTGTCTGGCTTATCGTAAAGATTTAATAAATGTTTGTTCATTGATTGATTAAAATGGTGTAGCTTTGTATTCCTTCAAAAGAGCCAAAACAACACAAACCATGCATGATCAGAACAGTATAAATAAAGACAGTAGTAAAAGACAACAAAATTAAAGTAAAACATAACAATGTTGGTAACATCTTATATAAATTAAAGCACATATTCTCCCTTTCTCTTAATAATTCATAGGCTACAAAAGTGGAAAAGGACATGTGCTTTCAGCTGTAATCATACTATTAGGTGTTTTTGCTTACATTTTCTTTGGGAATGTATCTGTGGGATATCCATTTGGGTCTTTTGTTGAAAAGAAGCTATTGTGCCCAAACAAATGCATTAATAAAAAACCAAATTGTCTTGTAATCAAATATAGAAAATATCCTTTGAAATAAAAAATTGTCATAACTGGCAAAGCACAGTGAGCTTTTCACAAGTTTTCATAAATCAAAGTCTGTTTGCTAGGTTGTCTAATAAATGCTATTTTATTATTTCAAAGGGAATTTTATGTATCTCAGACATAGCAGAAGAAATGTTATTTTATATTACTGATGATGTTTTTCTGAAAAAGAGAATATCTTTGTAGATTCCAGGAACTATTTCACATTTCTATGACAACAGTCTTAGCTGGGCTACAAAGATGTTAGACATCTTTGAACTTTTATGCCAGTGATAGGATTACTAAATGATGGAGAAACTTGATACCTGTGGTGGTATTACTCTCTGCTTTTCCCACCTTCTCTGCTCAACAAACCATCTATATTGGTGTTTCCAGAAATAGTCTTACGGCAATTATGTAGTCTGTTGACTTTCCTGTCTGGTGGCTCCTTCTTAACTATCTTCTCTGAATCTTTATCTATGCCATATCCACTAACCATGGGGCACTCCTCAAGGCTCTATCCATGACCCTCTTCTTTTTTTCTTCCTTATACTATCTCACTTAGTGATCCTATCAGTTCTCATGGGTTTACTTATCATCTCTATACTCTTGATTCCCAGAGTTTTGTGCCCAGCCTTAGTCTCTCTCCTGAACTCTAATGCCACTCTGGCAATTGCCTCTTGGACATCTAGAACTGGATGTCCTGTAGGCATCTCAAACTCAACATGTTAAAAATAGAAATAATTATCTTTTCCACTAAACCCTCTTCCCTTTTGAATTTCCTTGTTATTGTTGAGTGCAACTCTGTCCTCTCAGTGACCTAGACTTGCAATCTCATCATTATACTCATCTCCTAACTCAGTCTTTTCACATATACAACATGTTGTCAAGTCTTATAACTTCTCCCTACCCAACATTTCTTGCATCTGTTTCCTTCCCTTCCATAGCCACCACTCTAGTTCAGGCCATCATCCCCTCTTGCCTGGATAATTGCAATAGCCTCCTAATTGATCTCTCTGTCTCATGTCTTCTCATTCTAATCTACCACCACCCAATTGCCAAAATGATGGAGTGTAGGTTGATCATGTCACTCCTCCCTACTCAATGAACTCCAGTAGCTCTCTGTAACCTCCAGGATCACACATAAAATTCTCTGCTTGACATTTAAAGCTCTTCACAACTTGACTTCTTTCTACCTTTCCAGTCTTCTTGTTCTTTATTCTCTTCTATATATTTTACTTTCTAGCCACACTGGTCCATTTGCTCTTCTTTACATGTGACATTCCGCCTCTGTGCTTTAGCATCGGCTGTCCTTCATCTTTGGAAGGTTCTTTCTCTTCACCTACACTTCTGATAGTCCTTGACTTCCTTCAAGGCTCAGCTCAGATGTCCTTTTCTGTCGCTAGAGACATCCCCTCTAAGATTACCTTCTATTTACTCTTTACATCTCTTGTCTATATGTATTTACACATTGTTTTCCTCATTCGAATATAAACTTTTTGAGGGCAAGGACTGTTTTTGCCTTTGTTTATATCTCCAGTGCTTAGGATAGTGCTGGTACATACTAAGTGTTTATTTACTGACTAAGTATATTTCCAAATTTAAATACCTGCTTTTATGTTTCCCTTAGGTTCATTTGACATAGATTATAAAGGGAAGTTACCTATCACTATACAACCAACTAATGGAATTGTGGACCCTAAATCATCAAAGAATATTAAAGTTTATGTATGTACAGATAAGCCCAGAATTGTTAGTGAATTGGCAAAGTGAGTATATTGTTATTTCATTGATTATAAAAAGCCTTACTATCATGTTTCACTCTGTTGTCTTAGGCTATATATCTATATTTGACTATCTTGGCTATTCTTCTGTTTTACCTGGTCTTTTGGAAGGACACAAATGCATCCAGAATTGAGAGACTGTTTTCACGGTGAAGTCCAGGGTTCCCAAGGAGGTTCAGACTGTTTCAACTGCATGACCACAGTGGGACTGAAATTCATATTCCTGAGTTACTATGGCTCAGTGGGGAAAAGGAGGGAAAGCTATCACCAAAACTCTAAAGGGCAGGTTAGTAGATGGCACAGGGTATAGAGTCAAGAAGACTTGAGTTCAAATCCTGGCTGAGGCATTCACTGGCTCTGTGACTCAGGGTAAGCCACTGAATATCTCTCAACCTCAGTTTCCTTATCTGTAAAAGGAGCACAGTAATACTACCTGGAAGCTAGGTGGTGCAGTGGATACAGTGCTGGGCCTGGAGTTAAAAAGACTCATTGTCCTTAAATCTGTCCTTAGACACTTACTAGCTGTGTGACCTTGGGCAAGTCACTTACCCTTGTTTGCCTCAGTTTCCTTATCTATCAAATAAGCTGGAGAAGGAAATGGCAACCCACTCTAATATCTTTGCCAAGAAAACCCCAAAGGGGGCACGAAAAGTCACACTTAAATGAAAATGACTGAACAACAACAACAACAATAACAAAGTATCTTGCAGGGTTGTTGTGAGGATTAAATGAAATAACTTATGTAAAGAATTTTGCAAACCTTAAAGTTCTATGTAAGTGTTATTATTGTTATGGTTATTATAGCAGGGACCTCTTAATATATCCATTAGGTGCCCTAGTTTCCATTGAGGATTTTACAGGGAAGACCTCTGAATGAAGAAGCATGCTTGCTCAGGGGAGGTGGGTGGGAGACCCCCTGTTTGTATTTCAGGCTGAAACACTTTGCTACATAAACTCCTCTTATAATTGCCCTCTATGACTGATGAAGAATATGGATGGTGTCTGGCGGTTTAGAGTAGATCATGGGAAGCTGAACAAAGTTGTTATGCTCATTGCTGAGGGCTATTCCTAACCTTGTCAATATGGTGGACTAGGGAACCCAGGCCCCAGTCAACTGATATGGGTTATTGATTTCCTCAGTGCCATTTTCTCTTTTTTATATGTCTGATACTGTGTAGGAATTTAGTCTAATTTCTCTGTCTTTCCTCAGGATTACTTGAATTCTCCATATTACCTCTATTTGGTGGGCAGAAGGCTCTGAAAGAGGCCTCACTTTCTAAGGGCATTGATGTCCACCAATATGTTAAGATGCAATGTTGACTGAGTCAGATAAGGCCATGGTAGCAGAGGCCTTACATAAAATGGTGGCTCATATTATGGATAAGGGCCCAAATTGTTATGGAAATCAGCCCAAAGTAAATTCATCATTAAGCCACGCAGTTAAGTTTTGGGAGCATACTAGATGGGGAAAACATAATTCCAGATGTGCTCTGTAATAATCTACTGACATCTTCCCACGTGAAAAAGTATACAACTTGTAATTAATTTTGAATAAAATACTATTCTACTCAATCTTCATGCTTACGCCAGCAGTTGGCAATACTTACTCATTCCCTGCAGGGTAATAAGAATTGCTCTAAAGCCTCCAGACCACCATTTCCCATAAGCTGGAACTTTTGTGCCTCAGAGACCAAGGAAATCAAACCAAAAATTCAAGCCCTAGTCCCAAAGACAGCTTCCTTGCTCCCTTAAAGTGAAACCAACTTATAGAGGTTACTCCTAAGCATACTTTGCTAAAATGGTGATAAACTCTACCAACTTCCTTTTTCTTTGTTAAGTGCTTTAATATTCCTGACAAAAATGATTGTGAGGTGGTAAGTGACAGGCCTAGAATTCAAACCCAGATCTTTTGACTCTAGTCTCTTTCCCCTCAGTGACTGAGTATGAACTTTGGTAGGAAATGTAACAATGTTGGATGAAGTCAAATGATGGGAATGGAGTTCAGGGCAGGGAGGAAGGAAAATGACCAGCCTTGGTTGAGCTTGGTGGTACAAACTTGTAATTCCTGCTCCTAGGAAAAATTTAAGCTGGTGGATTGCTTGAGTTCTGAGGTTCAAAAGGGCTAAAGCCCTTTGGGAGTCTGAACTAGGTCTGTCACCAGTATGGTAAGCCCCTTGGCGATGATATGGGTGTTGAAAGATGGCACCAACCAGATGGCACTGCCTAAGGTGTGAACAAACCAGCCTACATCAGAAACAGAACAGGCCAAACCTTTTGGACTAATCAGCAGTGGGATGGGGCCTGGCAGCTGCCCTTTGAGCCTGGTTGAGATAGGGAAATTCAGTCTCCTAAAAACAAAAAAAGAGTGATTTGTTACATGAGAGAATGACTTTAGGTAGAGATATTAATTTTGGGAAAAGAGTAAGTACATTCAGAAGTGTGAATTTATGTTTTGGTAGTTTTGGTAGAGGAGGAATGCTCTACAGTGGGAAAGATGGGAGACCTTTTCTTTTGAACATGAGAGTTTTTTTTCCCCCTAGAGATGAAGAAATATATTTATCATATACCACTCTTCAATGTGCACACAGACAGGGTTGGCATTCTGTAGTTTATTGAGCAAGATTTGTTTCATTTTCATTAGTAGATTGTTTTCTAATTAATATCAAATACAACTTCTTCTTAGTCTGATATTTGGTGGCCAAATGAAGTGTATTTTTGGTTCTTTCACTTACAAAAATTAATAAAACATGCTTTTCTTTTATTCTCCTGTTCTTATTAGAGTAAGTTTGCAGGGTGGCGAAGACACATTTTTACAGATTGAAGCCTGTGTTGTCCAGCAAATTATTGAACTGTTAGATGTTTATGGGGAAAAAAGTTTGAAGTGTATACAATTTGGAAGTGTCTTCTTTGGAACATCAAAGATTGAGCATGCAGTTCTGTATAATAACAGTCCTGAACATATGAGTTGGGTGGCAGTGATGGAGCATGAAGCAGTTGGAGAAGAATTGGTAAGTTAGCTGAATGGCTTTAACATGGTTTGAAAGTGTCTACTAGTCTTAAAGCAAAATTAGGACAAATCATTTAATTTCTTTTAAATACTTAAGTTGTTTATCCTAATTTAGTTTATTTAGCTATACTTGTCTCTTGGAAGTAACCTCTAGAGAAATGGTGCTTTAAACAAAATAGCAATGGTACAAATGTAGGTCTCCTAACCCCATTCTCCCCTTTCCTCTCCCTCTACCTTGTACTTGCAAGTTGGGGTCCCTTGCAGGAATGACTACCAAATTCACAGTACTCTGAAGACTAATTTGATGGTATGTGCACATATATGCATATCAGTGTATGTATATTCATATACAATATGTGTATATGTGCTTACACAGATGAACAAAAAACTGAGCAATTCTAGTTCCTAATAAACCATAACTTTTTAGTAATCCTTGTGGGTTGGTTCTCTTAAAACTATTGCTTATACGCCCCCATTTACCTTCAAAGTAAAAGCAGTTCCTGAAATGGTCTAAGAACAATAACCACAAATTACCCCCTCAATAAATCTTAGGCTCATTCTCCCACAAATATACACAGATTTCATAGTTATCACATAGGTAGAATGCATTAGTAAAGGAGCACAAATGTGTGGACTATATGTGTCCAAGGCAGCTCACATCTCCAGCACTACTACAGTGCACAAGGATATTTTCCCTTCCTTGGTGTCTTTGTTCTGCTCCACCTGTGCATAGGGCTTCTGATGATGGGTAGCTTTGCTGGGATCCATGGACTTGTTTCTCTCCACAACTCAACTGTACTCTGCCACTGTATTCACTTCTACCACACTTTCTCTCTGTACTGACTCCTTAGAAATTGTCTTGCTTTTTAAAGGCAGATGTGAATGGCTCTTTGTCCTTTAATTATATCAGATTTGTTTAAAGAGTTCCCTGCCTCTTAAAGGACTAATAAAGAATAAATACTTCTTTATTTTGAAGGATAAATACTTCTTAAATATTTGCTTCCTTGAAAACTATGACTTCTTAGTGTTGTTGTTATCTGTCCCTTAAATCCTGTAATTTCATCAAGGGAACTGGGGGGAGCTTAACTGATTTGGGGGTCTCCTGGTTAATATCCAACCCCCCACTAGACTAATTTGAGGGTATGTGCATATATTCATGTGGGTGTATGTATGTGTGCACACATCATATATACATGTGTATGTGTATGCACACTGATAAACAAAAGCTGAGTCATTCTAGTTCTTAATAGCCTGTAGCTTTTTAGTAATTCTTACTCTCATCTGTTTTCTTGTGGGAAGATTTATTGTTTTAATTTTATAATGTGCCTGCTTTTTGACCCCAATATTAATTTATAAATATTTAAACAAAAGAAATTACCTATAAATTTTCTTATAAACTGTGGAGCTATAGTAGTGATTCTATGATAAATCATAAAACCTTTTACATTATTTTTTCTTGACTATTTTTACTTTGGTTTTACATTACAGGGTACAAACCTTCAGCAAAGAATAGATGGCGCTTTACATGATTTAAACTACATAAGCAAAATGAGAAACATAGATGTTACCACTTTTATTTCTTGTATTCCCAATGAAGGAACTTTATTACCTTATCAAAAGATAGTAATTACATTTTGCTTTAGTCCAAAGTAAGTATGTACAGATACCTTTGTAATGGAAATAATTTTAATTGCATTAACATTGTTAGTAATGCATTCATCAGATTAATTTTAGTATTTCACCTTAACAGTACTAGTAAAAAGGCAAAAAAAAGTCTTTATTGACATGTTATGAACTTTTAATTCTAGTTTGAACATTTCTTAGGTTACATTGATTAAAAGTGAAGTTCTGTTTATAATTCTATTTTGTTAATACACTTCAAAATTAATTCAATATAAGAATAGTTTTCAAATAAAATCTCCAAAATCATGTTGTATAAATTTAGATTAGTTGTTTTAATTCAAATTTTGTTTATTGCTGTTAGTAAGTCGGAGTAAAAATTGGTCCCTTATGGGAAGGGATTAGTGAACAAATAAGTGTCCCAGTTTGTAGGGTGATATTGGACATTTGTAGTACTGGCCATGGATGAGAGGATACAGCCCACATTCTTGATTCTGAGTTGGGTCAGATGATGAGAAACACAGTAAACTATCATAGGTTTTCCCCACCCACCCCCAACCCTCTCCAACCCCACTTAAATAGAATCAGCTACTGGATTCTCTTTGACAGAGAGCTCTATAGATACAAGGTACCAGGTGAGTAAACACTATGGATAAAGTCACAATTATGCATAAAATGCACACTCCTTAGCCTAATATATAAATGGTTTTCCATAATGTGACTCCAACTTACCTTTCCAGTCTTATGGTCCATTATTTCCCTTCATGAGTGCTAATTTCCAGCTGTTCTATTGATCTACTAGCTCTCCAAACTTGATATTCCTTAACCTGCTGCTATGCATTTGTACAAATTATTCTTCATGTCTGGAATGAACTCTTTCCTTGTTTTTGCCTTTTTGAATTCATATCTTCCTTCAAAGCCCAACTCAGAACTGCCTTTTCTTTTGTGAAATGTTGCCTCATCCCGTAGTTGTTAATGCTCTTTTCCTCCTCACATTTTCTATAATACTCTGCTTGATCTTTGCCTTCCACCTTCACTTTCTACATCATTATACATCTCCATATGTGTTGTATTTCTTGCCACTGCTGTCACCCTGTTAAGCTCCTCAAAGTCAAGTTCTCTTTTGTTTTTGCCTTTGTATCCCTGTGCCTTATTAGAGTGTCTTGAGCATTGAATGTTTATTTTGGTTAGTTTGGTAGGGTGATGATAAAATTGTGGTGAATTGAATTCAAGTGAAACATTTGGTTGGAACCTGTTCATCTGCTAGTTGAGATGAATTGACTTTCAGAATTTACAGTAAGAGAGTGTTTAAAAAATTATTCATATTCATTTAATTTGTTCATTTAGGGAAGTATCCTAACTAGGGACGCTATGTTGTCTTAGTTACAAGTCCTTACCTTAATTCTTTGTAGAGTGAGTTGCAAAATTTTTCTGTTGCCTTGAACATTCATAGAACCTTTGACTAAAAGTTCACCTGGTCATTTGATCAATCAAAATGCCGTTTGAAGACCTTAGCAGATGTTCTTCAGTAAACAACCTTCCAGTGTAATGTAATGAGAGTATAAAAATCTTACTTTTGTTCAAAGAATATTACACACTTCTATACATTGTACAATATTATACAATATTGCAAAGTATTGCACATTTACAGAATCACCAGGGCAGATACCCCAAATGAATAAACTTCTTTATGTTCTTTTCATCACAGTAAGTTCAAGAAGTTCAAGAAACTAGCATGTACGTGCATCAGTATTACTATTCCCTGAATAAGCCTACTGAAAGATATTGATGAAAAAATATTTTTTGATTTTTTAAGATTTGTCTAACTTTTCAAAATTTGTCCCAGGGTTTTTATTTTTTGTTACATTTTGAGTTCCCAGCTGTATTTCCCCTCGATCCCCAGTCTTGTATTAGAGAAGGCCAACATTTGACACAGATATATATATGAAACCATACAATAAATACATCTATATATCAGTTCTTTCTCTGGAGTAGATAGCGTCTTCCTTCATAGGTACTTTGTAGTTGATTTGAATATTCATATTACTCAGAATAGCTTAGTCATTCACATTCCTCTTTGAACAATATTGTTTTTACTGTATACAATTTTCTCTTGGTTCTATTCATTTTACTCTTCATTATTTCATGCAAGTTTTTCCATGTTTTTCTAAACTCAACTGGTTCATCATTTCTTGTAGCACAGTAGTTTTCCATTACAATTATATACAACTTATTCAGTTATTCCCCAACTGATAGGCATCCCCTCAATTTCCAGTTCTTTGTCACCACAAAGAGATTTGCTATAAATATTTTAGAACATTTAGATTCTTTTCCTTTTTCTCTGTTCACCTTGTGAAACAGACCTAATGGTGGTATTTCTGGGTCAAAGGATATAAGTAATTTCATAATTCTTAAGGCATAATTCCAGATTGCTCTCCAGAATGATTAGATCAGTTTACAGTTACACCAACAGTGTACTAATGTCCCAGTTTTTCCATTTCTTCTCCAAAATTTGTCATTTTCCCCTTCTATCATTTTATCCAATCTGATAAGTGTGAGATGGTATCTTAAAGTTGTTTTAATTTGCATTTCTCTAAAAAATAATTTAGAGTATTTTTACATGACTCTCTCTCTACATGTGTATATATATGTGTGTGTGCCTATATATATAGCTTTGATTTATTTTTCCAAAAACTGCCTATTCATATCCTTTGACCATTTATAATTTGGGGAATGACTTATATCCTTATAAATTTAATAAATTTCTCTATATATTTGAGATATGAGGTCTTTGTCCAAAAAAACTGTCTATAAAATCCCCCTCCTCCTCAATTTTCTGCTTTCCTTCTGATCTTGACTACATTGGTTTTGTTGGTACAAACTTTAATATAATAAAAATTATCCAATTTATGTCTTACCTCACTCTCTACTTTTTGTGTATTCATCAAATGTTTTCTTATCCACAAATCTGATAGGTAATTATATTACATATTCTTATCCTAGGGTTTTAACTAAGAAATACTAAATAGAGTTGGAGTTTGGTATGAAATGTCTTCCACAATTGATTTAAAATTTTTCTCTGTGCTCTAATTGAAACATAACTCTGACTATCAATTTTTGTAGACTATATGATAATGATAAAAAGCATGCTGACTTATCCCACAAACAAGACTATGCTCTGTTTTTGAGATTCGAGTCAATAGAGAGTAAAGATACTTTTTCAAAAGCTGAAGAAGATGCTACTGAAAGTAAGTGTAAAAGTCTGCGAACATTGAAAAATACAATAAATATATGTGTTCAGCATGAGAAATACTAAAATATTTACAGAACTGCTTAAAACAAAGTGTATCTTGCATAAAGGAAACAAGTTAATTTTAGAAGATTTTTTATATCTTTTTTTTTTTTTTTGGTTTTTGGTTGGGCAATGGGGGTTAAGTGACTTGCCCAGGTTCACACAGCTAGGAAGTGTTATGTGTATGAGGCTGGATTTGAACTCGGGTCTTCCTGAATCCAGGGCCGGTGCTCTATCCACTGCACCACCTAGCTGCCCCCCATTTTTTTTATATATCTTTTGATGATCGGGAAATTTAATTCTTGATAGGAGATTACCAAGTTAAAAATCGACTACACATTTAGTATCAAGGTGGTTAGGGGATTAGGAAACTCGGATTATAATAATAATAGTACTTATTCATATTTCTATAGTATTCTAAGGTATATAAGGAGCTTTCTGCACAACAGTTCAGTGAGGTAGGTAATGTGAGTGTTGTTATTCCTATTTTCCAAATGAGGAAATTGAGGTTAAGAAAGGAAGATTGACATGTTCAGGGAATTCCAAATAGTAAGAACCAGTATTCAAACTCAAGTCTTTTCCTGGCTCCAAGTCCAAAGTTCTTTCTAACATGGCACACAGATTCTTTTCCTGTGCTACAGTTTTCCATTATAAATGGCAATGTATTTTGACATTATTTGACTGTCAAGATCAGGGGTGGGAACCTGTGACCTCGAGGCCACCTGTGGCCTTCTAGGTCCTTGGGTGCAGTCCTTTGACTGAGTCCAGATTTTATAGAAAAAATCCTTTTATTAAGGGGATTTGTTCTGTGAAGTTTGGATTGAGTCAAAGGACTCCACTTGAGGACCTAGAGGGCCACATGTGGCCTTGGGGCTACAGGTTCCCCACCCCTGGTCTGGGAAGATTAGGTTAAGCAGGTAGGTACCATACATTTTGGGGAGGGGAAGATTATAGATTCCAGAACGATAAAGTCAACGAGAATAGCAAAAGTGAACCCTGACTCTAAGGCAGAAACTGTTCCTTTCTGTTTTGTCCAGGGCCTGTTGAATATGTTTGGCCCTGATGATGTTTGTAGTAAGAAGATAGTCAGAGGCCTACCCCTAAATCCTATCCCTCATCGAAGGAAAGACATCTCACAATGAGCTTCATTTAGGGAAGCAATACCTAGTTATCCCTGGCCTGGAAGGTTTGTATCTTCCCTTTGCCAACAGTCAAGAAATGGGAACTTTCTTATAGGTTCCATTTGTGTTAACCTACACACAAATGTCCCACTTATTCAAGTATAACCGTTCCATTGATGTATTGGCACTTCATGATATCTTACGTTAATTGAGCAAAACTTTTGAGTATTATCTGAGTTCCCGAGGTATTTTTAAATACTCAGGAGTTTTATTGTCTTTTACAGGTCATCATTTTCACAAAGTGGAGTTAGCACTGACAGGTTCAGGACTCCCTGTCTTATTAAGTTTTGTACCAGGAAAAGTCCTTCATTTCACACCTTGTTTTATGGGTCAACGTTCAGAGATTTTGTGCAGCATACAAAATCATTCCAAATCACTTCCTGTAGTATTCAGCTTCCACAAAGTAGCTCATTTTAGAACTACTCCAGAGAAAGGAAAGATACATGAAGAAAGTATTCAGGTAATGCAATTGACCTTTCCTTTCAAATTGCTTTTAAAATATATGTAGGTCTGGAAAATACTGCTCATCATGTACACAAAAAACTTAGTTGGTCTCCTCATTTATTATTTTGATCTCTCATCCATCTTAGATATATAGGCTTTTTTTCCTTGTTACTCATCATTCACTGAAATTAATAAATATATGTTGAGTAGCACTACCATCAAGACACCCTGCTAGTTAATGTGGGAAATATGATGATGATAAGATGGCATATGACCTGTAGGTAGGAGTGTGCTGGAGCCAACTTGAAAGCTTGGTAGTGCCAATTACTAAATTTTCAGTGTAAGCGTTTATGTCTTGGGAATTAGCAAATGCTAACAATTCAGGGATTGATTTTCTAGACTTAAGAAAGTAATGGAGAAAATATTAATAATTCAGATTTAACTTAAAAATACATAGAGGGTACATTTGAGGGAGATGAAAGGGGAGAGCTATTAAATTTTACCAGTTTACCATTGCCTTTATGTATTTACAATGTAGTCGGGAAGGTAACAAATATACAAGGATAAGAAAACCCCAGTAAAAATGTAAATAATGGTTCAAGACATTAAAACTAACAAGAAAGACTTTAAACCAAAATATGTGTATATATTATACATACATAAACATATTTGTGTGTATGTATCACACACAAATATTAATAAAACATAGTAACTATGAATATGTGTATATATATATAATGTAAAAATATAAATACACATGCATACACACACATATATATATACATATATATATATATACACACACACATACACCAAAGTAGATAACATAAGGGAAAGCTACATTATAGGGATAAAATCAATAGCTGAGACACCCAGAGAATACTTAGATTGTGCATAGGAAGTATAATCCAAGGAAAGGACCTATACTAAAACCTATGGCCTAAGATATTGATAAATAAAGGCAGAAAATATAACCAAGAAACAAGTTGAACCAGGGATCCTAATGCAAGGAGATTTCCTCCCTTGGCTTTTGAAGTCAATGGTGTCACTAAGACTTGATGTGACAAGACTTGACTGTAATGACTTTGAAAGAATATATTTTTTTTAAAGGAAGCAGGGATAGGAAAAAGAAGAGAGTAGCATTAAGATATATTACTATTTTACTATTTTAATATCATATATTAGTCTTGTAAGAAAATCCAGGTATCAGGGAAGAAAACATGGGGGTAAAGATTGACTGAGGCTGAAACAAAGTGGATAAAAGATCATTGGGATATATATTACAGATTATTTGGATGTAAAGAGGAAAAAAATGAAGAATTCAGGAAATAGATACCAAGCTTCACGCTATTCTTGTGGAACAAATTGTCCTGTGAAGTTTGAATTCAAAGTTCAGAGTTCTTGAAGACCTAGAGGGTCACATCTGGCTTCAAGGTCGCAGGTTCCCCACCCTGTTAGATGATAAAGTCAGGATCCAAAAAGGTCTTGAAAGACTAGAACAATGGGCCAAACCTAGTAAGATGAAATTCAAGATGGATAAATGTTTTATTCTTAGGTTCAAAAACCCGACTTCACGAGTACTTAGTGGGGAAGACACAGTTAGACAAAGGTTTGTCTGCAAAAAGGTTTAGTGAGGGTTATAATGGACTTTAAGCTCAATATGACTCAAAAGTGTGATATGGTAGCCAAGAATACTACTGCAATTATAGGATGCATTAAGAAGAGCAGAATTTCCAGGTCTAGGGAGTTGATAATTCCTCTACCTACCCTGGTCATGTACAAGAGTTGCATAGAGTGGATTTGCAATCTGCATCATTGGAGGGAATATCCATTTCAATGAGATCACTGATCCATCATAGCTCCATATCTACATTAACATCTACATTCACCATACGCAAAACAGAATTGCAACCTTGGAATCATTTGTGATTCTTCCTTCTGCCTCACACTCAGTCAGTTCCTAGGTCTTGTTGATTACATGATGTCCATAATAACTTTCCACATCTGTTCCCCTTTCTCCACTCACATGTCCACCACCCTAGTTCAAACTCTTCCTTCTTACCTCTTGTCTGGACTATTGAGTAGTTTTCCAATTGGTCTCCCTGGTGTCAGTCTTTCAGTTCTTTAATCCTTCATTTACAGAGCTGCCAAAATAAAGCTTTCTGAAGTCCAAAGCACAGGTCCAACCATGTCAGTTCTTTCCTTAAAAAAAAAGTTAATTCCTCACGCAGGCATTGAAATCCTTTCACAATCTGGCTCTAGTCTGTCTTTCCAGACTTATTCCATGTTGCTTCCCTTCATGTATTGTCCATTCCAGACAAATGAGCCTACTTACTGAACTCAGCATTTCCTCACCTATCTCTATGCTTCTGCATAGACTGTTCCTCATGTCTGTAATGCACATTCTTCTCACCTCCATTTTTTAGACTCCTTAGCTTCCCTCAACACTGTGCTGAGGTCCTATGTCCCACAGGAAGAACTTTCCTTCTCTTCCTAATTGTCAGTGCTTTTTCATAATTCAAATTATTGTAGATTTGCCTATTTATTTATTTGTTGCATCCCTACATATAATGGAAACCTCTTGAGGGTAGAGATTGTTTTTCAGTTTTGTATTTGTATACTCAGCATCTAGCAGAATGCCTTGCACATCGTAGATGCAATATGTTTGATTAGTCAAATTGAGCCTATTACTTTTTGAAGACCATCTACATAGTTTTTACAAGTGTCTCAAAGGCAAGAAATCAAAAGTGTAGGTATTCTCTAAGGAAACTCACCATTGCCATGATAAAGTAATCTTTCTTTACATTTCACAGGAGAAGTCTCGCTCTTTTTTGTTGTCCTTTTATTATTAAGTATATGCATCATTATTTTTTTTTCAGAATGTGCTCTTTTCATTTGTGCCACATCAACTAGGCACATTTAAAGTAAAGCAATTCATGGATATACTTGGTTTTGTGGCAGAAGATGGTTTACATGTGCAAGTGAAACCTTTTCACCAAATAGAGTTAAGTTTTACTAGTATCTGCAAACCTACAACCAAGAGAATTGAGATGAAAATCATTCCCGGTATGCTACTGAGAAAACTTATTAGACTTTTTAGCAATAATTTAAAAACATCTTTAACTTATGTAAATCAAATTCATCTTTGTATATATATAAAATTATAAAATGGATTAATATAAATAGACCCACAGAAAAAGAATATTTGGGGGGGACACTTTGGTGCAGATGAAATCTTTTCAATATTGCTATTTCTCTTAGTCTTAATACTTCAAGTTGTTGGGAAATGTGAGGCAGTTAGGGATTAGAAGGAAGATTTTGGAAGGCACCAAGTATTATGTGGCTTCAGTCTTAGGACTAAGTCTAGGTGGTTTCCTTTTTCCTTCATGGCAGAAAATTATTTCTGTTCTCTGGGAAAGGAAAATTTTGATGGAATAAACATTTTCTGGAATTCTTGGACTGAGACTGAGTTAGCCTTTGTGAATGAGAAGCAGTAATAACTGACAGTTTAGAGAAGGAAGATTTGCCCAGCATTTCTGGGCATTTATAAAGCTATAAAATATTTTTTCTTTAAATCCCTTGTCAAGTGGGGAACCCACTTTAGGGTCTATGAAGGTAGATCCTTTTATTCATTAGAGATTCATGAAATTAAATCATGAGTGCTTTCTAAAGTTTTTGAAGGACTTATTTTAAATTTGATTTTAATAAATTACTAAATATCCATGGAAAATTGCAATGATACATTTAAATTAGAAAGTTATTGAATGGATTTGATTTTTTTATATTCTTTTTAAGGTCTAACACCTCTGATTACTAATGCCACTGGACAGTATGTTGTTGATGAAACAGGAGAGTACAAAAACTTTGCACCAGTAGCAATGCTGAAATCAAAATTGACATCCATCCATGATCACCACTTAAGTGCACCCTTGGGGAATGATGTACTGGTTGCCTTTCCTAATGACCGATGTGCTAGCCTCAGGTCTGGAGATCCACGTGTCGAAATCAGGTACTATGCTGATGATGTTAAACACAAAAAAGTAATAAATTCCAAAGTCACTTTAATGCAATTTGAATTAAGTACAGTCATAAGGAAAAATTTTTAAATTTTAAAATAAAGGATATCTTTTTGAATGTAAATTAAGAAAACTAAGATGTCTGTTTAGGATATAACATTGTTATACAGACAGTTCCTGCTTTACAAAAATTTGCGTTACACAAATTTGACTTTACTAAAGAATTTTGAAAGAAATCCTCATTCCAATTCCCTTGAAAATTGTGCAGAATTTCAGACGTGCAAGTGTTAGGAGAGACTGCGAGTGTAGATATTGAAACAGCAAAGCAGTTCCTAGAGTTCCTACAAAAATTAATAGAGGAAGGTCCCTACTTACTGGAATAAATCCTTAATGTAGAAGAAACTGAACTATTTTATCAATGAATGCCATCTTGAACCTAGGAAAAAAAAGTACTGACATAAAACTTTGAAAAATAGAATTACTCTTTTGCTTGGAGGGAATACATCTGGGACTTGCAAATTGAAACCTGTTCTTGTGCACCACTCAGAAAATTCCAGAGCATTGAAAGAAATTAAGAGACATCACAACCTGTGCATTATTTCATTACTTCAGAGGCATGGATCACCCTTATCATCCTAGAGCAATGGTTTATGCACTGCTTAATTCTCAAGAAGTTTTGTAATGATAATGGCATTCCTTTAAAAAATTCAACTTATTTTGGTTAACATCACAAGTCACCCTTCCCATCTAGATGATTTTAATGAAAATGTAAAAGTGGTCTACCTTCCCCCTACACCTACTTCATTATTACAACCTATGGATCAGGCACTAATTTGGAATTTTGAGGGATATTATTTACCCAGTAGGCATCTGCAACTTTGGAAGCAGATAAGGACTTGACATTGAGAGATTTCTGGAAATCCTGTAATATTTACCATGCAGTCCAGCATATTGCTAAGGCATGGGAAGGTATAACAAAAACAGATATAAAGAGTTTGGGAAAAAAGTTTGCCTGGGTTTTTTTCCCTATTTTTGTGGATTTGACAAAGATGAAATTTCTGAAGAAGTAAGTAACAAGATTGTAAAATTAGCACAAGAATTGGAGCTAGAAGTGGTTGAGAATGATGTGGAGCAGTTGATTGAGTCTCATGGAGAAGAATTGTCAAATGAGTTGCTAGCTGAAGAAGAAAGGGAAACTTTGCAATCTGATGTTGAACCAAAAAGGTTCATGACAAAACAGTTAGCAGAAGCATTTCATAATTCAAGTGATTTTTTCCTTATATTGAAAAGATGGATCCAAATACTTCAAGATTTTTAAAAGTTCAAAGACTAGTTGAAGATAGTATTGTTTGCTATTATAAAATATACAAGGATAAGAGAGAGCCACTGTCCAAATATCTCTTGATAAAAAAAAGTTCCACCACCAGCCACCAGTGACAAAGGTTAGGTGCAGTAGGTGTGGAGGGGCAATATACTGTACACTTCTGTTAACTTTACTGTACCGTACTGGGTATACTTTATCTTTTGTTTCGTAATTCTGTTTATCATGGTACAGCATTTAGTATATCTGCATTTTAGTACATTTTATGACTTGTGCAAAGACATTTTGTCCTTGCTTTTCTTATATAGGCTAACTGAAATGGGTGGGTAGGAGTAAATTCACATTGGGTAAAAATTGCTTTAAGCTGAGGTGTGTAGAATAGTTCACTCATATAAAGTGAGAACCGTCTCTATTTAAAAAGTCCCAATAATAAATAATTCACATTTGTAGAACAAATTTATAAATTTATAAAGCACTTTCTTTCCAATGACCCTATGAGATGGGTAGCAGAAACAAAGGGTTTCTCAAAGGTCTTAGTGTACTTTTAAGCTCTTAGGTAAATTATTACCTAACAGACCACATTAATAACAAGAACAAAAATCATATAATCAAGAAATGCTGAAAAAAGCTTCTGACAAAACACAACACCTATTTCTATTAAAAACACCATAGAAATATAGGACCACATGGACCTTTTTTTTTTTAATATGGTAGGTAGTAACTATTTAAAACCAAGAGATAGAATTTTAAATAGAGGGGATAAACTAGGTTTATGTCCAGTAAAATCAGGAATAAAGCAAGCATGTTCATTAATTTCACTTCTTTTTTTTATAATGCTAGAAATGCTATTTTAAAAAGAAGAGAAGAAGGAATCAAATAAAAAACATGGTCAAGATGGAAATAAAATTATTGCTTTTTGTGAATAATATAATTTACCTATAGAATGACAGTGCAACTTGAGTCCCAAAGCCTATTGCTGTGGGACTCTTTCCTCGTTTTTGGAGATCAATTCCCTATGCCTGTGTGAGAACAGGAAGGAGTTGACAAGAGTGGGAGATAGAAGAGCCCTTCAGTCTTTTCAAGTCATTGAATCTCTTTTGGTTTCTCCAGTCTCTTCAAATGCTTCTTGCTTTCAGTTTTGAGAGAGAAGATAGACGATGCCAATCCCCCTTTAGGTTTCTGAAGGAAAAGACTCTGGGAAGCATCCAAGACAAGAGGAGCCATCAATCTCCATCATATCCCTGTTCCCAGCTTGCTACACTAGTAACTTCAGGGAGTTTCCCCTTGGGTGAAATCTGGAATTCTCTCAATTGAACTGTTACCTCACTCCCAGTGGGAAAGTTACTTCCCTTTGTGTTGTCTAGTATATATTTTTCTTTGTATACTTTCTCTTATTTCTGTTTGGATATCAAGGTGCATAAATGTATTCATTTGCTAATTGATAATGTATGTTCATTGTAGAACTGATATTTGAATGGAAAGGATCAAGCTTTGGATATAAAACTTCTTCCCTCCATTAATGAAGCAGTGATCAGAAGTTAGATTGAACCTGAAAACCACATCCCCCTGACTATTGATAGTTAAGGCAATAGATAAATGTAATTCTAATTTAATGCTCCTTCTCTCTGAGGAAAGCAGAGTAGCCAAGGGTTTTGGTCCCAACTTGCCACCTCCTCTCCTGACAGGAGTTAAAATTTCTATTAGAGAGCAGTGGGGGAAGAGGAGGGTAGAGATTTTTATTCCTTCAATCCATAGAATAACACTCCATTTTTCATGTGGGAGATAGCTTCCCTTATACTAGTAAGTCAATTAAAATTAATTAAAAATTATCTCAGATAACTTTCAAGATATAAAATAAATCTATGCAAACATCAGTATTTCTGTTTATTAATAACAAGATATGATAGGCATAGGTTGAAAAGAAATTATATTTAAAATAACTACAGAATGCATAAAATATTGTAGATCTAATTACCAAGACATGTATAGAAACTAAATAAGTACTACTGCAAAACACTCTTTACAGACAAAACAGACATAAATAACTTTAAGAAATATTAATTGCTCATGAGTAGGTTAAGCCAGTGTAACTATCAAAATAACGGCATTAGTGCTGAAAAAATAATGAAATTCATATGGAGGAAGAAAAGGTCAAGATTCTCAAGGGAAATAATCAAAAAAGTGGGAAGGAAGAAGGCTTAGCAGTAACATTTCAAACTATACAATAAACCAGTAATTATCTGAATGATTTGATATTGGCTAAAAAATAGGTCAACCAATGGAACAGGTTAAGTACATAGTAAATAGAAGCATATTGACTTACTTGTCTACTGCCTAATAAACCTAAAGACTCTTTCAAGGACTCATTATTTGACAAAATTTTCTAGGAAAACTGGAAAGTAATCTTAAAGAATTTAGGTTTAGACTAGCAAGTCACATCATATATGATGATAAGTTCCAAATAGATAACATGACTCTCATATACTGTCTTGCTTGGAAATCTCCTAGCTTCCACTTTTATAGCTCAAATTGCCTATTGGACATCTTGAATTGTATGTCCTATAAATATCTTAAACTCAACATGTCCAAAGCAGAATTCATTATCGCTATTCTCCCCCCTCCCAAATCTCCCCTTTTCGAAACTTCTCTATTACTGTTGAGGGCACTGTTGTACTGCCAGGGATCTAGGTTTATGACTTCAGTATTATTTAGAAATTCTCATTCATACTCACCCCATATATCCAATCTATTGCCAATATCTTCTACATACATACCTTTCTCTTCTCTGACACAGCTTCTATCCTAATGCAAGCCCTTATCACTTCACACCTGGATTATTTCAGTAGGCTGCTGCTGGGTCTCCCTACCTGAAATTTCCTCCATTCAGCAGTCAGCATGACCTTTCCAAAGCCCAGGTCTGGCTATATTATATCCCTATTCAATAAACTCCAGTGGTTCCTTGTTACTTCTAGAATTAAATATAAAATCTTTAATTTGTTTTTAAAGCTACGTACAATCTTGCCTTTTCAGACCCTTCTGGTCTTCTTATGCTTTAGTTTTCTTCATGTACTCTACAATTCAGCAACATTAGCCTCATTGTCTCTATCTGACATAGCCTCTATCTCCCCACTCAGGGCCTTTTCATCATAAGTCCTCCTTACCTAGAATACTTTCCTTCCTTGTCTCTACCTCTCTGATTTGGTCCAAGACTTGGTTCAAATCTTAACTACATTGTTTAAGAGGCTTTTTTTTTGCCCTCTCACTCCCCCCGTTTTCCCCTCTAAGATTATCTCCAACTTACCCTCTATATATCTTGTAATTGTTTGCATGCTGTTCCCTATTAAAATGTGAGGGAAAGGAATATTTTTGCTATTCTTTTTCTTCCCAGCATTTAGCACAGTGCTTGGTACATAGTAAGTGCTTGTTGACTTGATTTGACTTAGATATAAGAGGTTTTGTCATAATACATAAAGAGAATATATGGAGATACCTTTCAGCATTATGGATTGGCTCAGAGTTCTGGCCAAATGAGGGATAAAAAGGATTACAGGAGATAAAATGGATAGTCTTGAATTCACAAAATCAAAAAAAGTTTTTGCACAAAGAAAACCAATGTAGCTAAAATTATATGGGAAACAATTAACAAATCTTTACAAAAAGTTTCTCTGATAAAGGTCTCATTTCTCAGTTATATAAGGACCTCATTAAAATTAAGAAGAATAAAAGCCATTCCCTAATTAATAAATCATCAAAGGATATAAACAAGTAGTTTTCAAAGGGAGAAATTGAAGCTATAAATAGCCATATTTAAAAAATGCTCCAAATCTCTAAAATTTAGAGAAATGCAAATTAAAGCGAGTCAGAAGTTATATCTGGAAAGTGACAAATGGAGAGGCTATAGGAAATGATGACCATTAATGCAATGTTGATGGAGCTGTTAATTGGGCTAGCTGTGCTTTGTCCAATCATTCTGGAAATAAATTTATAACTATATATTAAAAGTCACTGAACTGTGTATACTTTTTGAAACATTATAACTAGATCTATGTTTTTTTAGATTTATATTTTAAAAAGATTAAAGAAAGAGCAAAAGGAGTTCTACATGCAAAAAATGTTTATAGCAGTTGTTAAAAATGTTTATAAATACTCAGAAATGAAGGAAAGCCACATCAATTGGGGAATGGATGAAAAAATATGATATATGATTGTAATAGAAAATTATTGTGCCATAAGAAATGATGAAAGGCATGACTTTAGAGAAACCTGGGAAGATTTAAGTGTGAACTGATGCAGAGGGAACAGAACCAGGAGTGCACTTTTTACAGTAACAGAAATATTGTAAAGATAAAACAATTAGGAAAGATTTGAGAACTCTGATCAATGAAATGGCCAAGTAAGATCTCAGTGTACTGATGATGAAAAATGCTACTTTCCTGCTGACAGAGTTGATGGATTCATGATGCAAAATGAGAGATTTTTGGAGATGACTAATTTGGGAATTTGTTTTGCTAGACCATGCATATTTTTATAATGGTTTTGTTTTTGTTTTTCAATTGTGGTTGGGAGGTTGGAGAGAGAGAAAGTAAATGCTCATTAAAAAGATAAAAAAAAAACCCTAATGATTTACATCAAATGTAAGAGAAGTCATTCTGTTTTTCCTTTAATGATTATTATTTAAATTATAGTATATACATATGAGATAACTTTAAATTGGTATTTTCTTCTACTAAATCAAATGCTTTTTCATAGTCACTGAGCAATAGACAGTGAGATCTCATATTTTCTACATATTTCATTGTTTTATGATATAAAGAGGTAGTCTACTATGGAATGATATCATTTGTGAAGGCCTGCCTGTTTGCTTCTACTACCTGCATCAAGGATGTCTAAAATGTGTAGATAGACAATTCTTACATATTTTTAATATTGATTGGAAAGTAGTGCTGTCACATAAGATTTTTGGAAAGATGTAACAAAGATAATCTTGTTTGATGACCTCCAATCATCAATATGAAATGAGGCACATGCCATGGAGATGTATACTTAACAAAGATTTTTTTATCATGGTCACAGAGGAGATTCAGTGCAGAATTCAAGGTGAAGATTGATTCCCTATGTCTCCAAATATGTCTCTGAGGCCCATTTTCTTTACTTGTGAAACGAGATGAAGATTTGCACTATATACTTCGGAGGGTTATCATGAAGAAACTGCTTTATAAACCTTAAAGTGCTATTTAAATAGGAGATATATTATTATAATTATAGCTTAGTAACTCTGGGCAGTTCCTGTTTTTTAGTAATGGAGGGTAAGAATATCAATGATTAATGAAATTTGTAGAGTGTAAAGGGCGGATCCAGAAATGCATTTTTCTACCTTCCCATTTCTCCCTCTATATCATAAGTGAAAAACATCTATGAAAAATGGGAGAAATCTTGTGGGTGAATATAGCACATAATTTGGGCCTTAGTTTTATTTCAATTCAAATCAATAAACATTTATTAAGCACCCACTAAGGCAAGTAGGTAGTACAGTGGATAGAATGCCAGGCCTGGAATCAGGAAGACACATCTTTCTGAGTTCAAATCTGGCCTCAGACCTTTACCAGCTGTGTGACCCTGGGTAAATCACTTACCCCTGTTTGCCTCAGTTTCCTCATCTGTAAAATGAGCTGGAGAAGGATATGATAAGCCACTCCAGTATCTTTGGTAAGAAACCCCAAATTGGGTCATGAAGAGTTGGACATGAACGAATCAACCCAACAACAACAATAACCTGCCATGTGCTGTACGAAACACTGGGGATACAAATAAGAAAAAGAAAGCTAGTCCCTGTCTTCAAGGAGTTTACAATCTAAGAGAGGAAGACAATATACAAAAGGAAACTAGAAAGAGGAAGGGAACTCGAGGGACCTCCTGGTGTGTGGGTCTCTTGTTCTGTGGATTTCATAACAAGCAGAACTATAGATGGAAAGTGTGGAATATTTATACATTGTTTTTCATTGTTAAGAGCTTCTTCACAGAACTCTGGGAAATTAAAGAAAATGCATATTTTATAATTGAGTTCATCTCTTGGTTAGGACAATTTTTTAAACTCTTGTGAATAAGTTTAGATTTGATTCTATTCTCTTTGAATTCCTATTGCCAGTAATCCAAATAACCTGATTGCTGTATCATCAAAGTTTTGTGCAGGGAGGATACAATGTAGCAATTCCTCAGCATTTTCCACTGTAAACATTGATATCTTACTTTAAAACTAGTTTCAAGTTGCATGACATAGTATGAAACAAAAATTCATTGATGCCAACTTTTCATATATTTAGGACCATTTTCACGAAAGTTGCGAGATGCAATTATGTGGATCCCGAATTTGCATATACTAAAGAGGAAGAAATACAAATACAAGAAAATAAAGACTACTATGCTAACTTCACTTTGAAATTGGCAAAGTGTAGAATGCAGAGGAAGTCAGAAAGGTAAAGTACACTTCCTAAAATGATAGGAGAAAACTAGTAGGCATAAAGAGTCAGAAGTTCTTATTTTATTTCTTGTTCCCCCTCCCCATTAATTTCAATATATATTTAAAAATATTTAGTTGAACAGAAGAATTCTGTTAATTCTTTAGTAAAAGATTTTATTTTTTTTGTTAGTAGTAATTTCAAAATAAATATATTTGAAGCTATGCTTTCTAACATTTTTTTACATTTATTTTTTAATAGGGCATTTAAACTCTCAGATAATGAGATAGATATTGGCATGAAACCAGGAGAAGGATTGAAGTCACCTCACCTATCAGTTTCACAAATATTTGAAGAGATGACTGAACCTATAAAATTGCCTCGAAAAGACAATTTCCTTCTAAGTACTCGAAATTTGGCAGCAAAAGAGACAGAATCTCTGCAAGAAAATGTAAGTTTAGTGTGAATCTATAAGTGTACTTAAATCAATGTAAGCTAATACTGAAAAATTAATTTTGATGTAAGAAACCATTTGTCATTTCTTATAGGTTATTAATGTAGTTAATCACAACCCATCCACTCCACAAGCAAAAGAAGATTGTAACTTAATTTTGACACCAAAGCAACTTCATCAAGTAGTAATTGGTAAGATTTGACAAAATACCACAATGCTCTTGATAGACAATATTGTTATAGCCATATCCTCTTAGACTTGTATTTAACTTGAATTCTGTTAGAATTGCACTTGAATATAAATCTGGCCACAACTTTGATTACTATCAACAATTATGAATCTCATTATATCAAGTTTAAATTCAATTTGCCTTAATTTTTAGCTGGACAAATAAAGCAAATCCTGAGATTCATCCCTGTAGAATAGTTTCAAAATATATCTACTTAAAAAAGCTACTGGCCCTTGTTTTTAAACTGTATTTTTGTTGATATCTTTTATTTTACATTGACTTCACTTCCCTGTCTCTTCCCCATCACGCCATTCATTGTGACAAAAAGTTTAAAAAGGAAGAGAAAAAAAGTAGATTAGGAAAACCAACCAAGACATCAATCATGCCTGATAATACCTACAATAATTTATACCTATATTTCTCCCTTCTGTAAAGAAGGAAGAAAAATTCATCATTTTCTCAACTCCTCTCCAAGGCCAAGCTTAGTCATTATGATTATACAGTATGCAATATCCCCTCCTCCCCTTTAAAAAAAGTCCCTTTTATTTGTGTTGTTGTACATTTATTTGTCTGGTCTTATTTCACTCAATATCAGGTCATGAGTCTTTTTCTGCTTCTCTGAATTCTTCACATCCTTTGTTTCTTGTAGCACAATAATATTCCATCACATTTTTGTACCATCATTTGTCTGGCCATTTCTCAATGGATGGCCATCTTCTTTGTTTCCACTTTTTTGTTACAAAAAAAAAGTATTGTTGGCCCTTCTTAATGATGATTATGGCCAAATTAATGAAGTATAAAATGATCATTGTGGCTTAAAGAAATGTAAAACCAGTGCTATGAATTTTCAAATGTTAATTAATTCCTATTGACAACACAGTATCTTTAAGGTTTTGCTTAATCTTATAAGGCCTTCAGCATTTTGGTCCTTTCCATTTTGTTTTGTTATAAATGATGATGGATTGATCAATGGATAGAAGCCTTTTATTCTTCAATGTCCAACTTAATCACCTATCCAGAAGCAATTTCTTCTTTTTTGAAATTCCATGGAATGATATTATTATATTTTTGTATTTTTCCTTTAATTGTAGTTATTCATATATTCATATTCTTTCTCCTGTTAGATTGTAAACACCATGAAGATCTGAACGCTACATCTTTGTTTTCTGACAATACACAGCACAAAAAGTGCTCAACAAATTTTTGTTGAGTGAATGAAGTTTATTTTCAATACTATATAATTATTATTATTATTATTATTATCATAGTATTATAGCATGGGTGAGGTCACTCGTATATTCATTTATTTATTCAGAAATATTTATGGCACCTAGTATGTACAAGAAATTATGCTAGATGCTGTGTTGATTGTGTTCCTAGTCTCTAGGAGCTTACAAGTTAGTTGGAGGAATAAGACATATATACAAATAAATATACATAAATAATCCAATATGTGACAGTATAAGATAAATGACCAATCAGTGGTCTGGATAAATTCAGAAGAAGACATCAATTATTGTTGGAGTTCTCAGAAAAGGTTTTATTCATTTACTCAAAATGTTTATTACACTTTTAGTATATGCTAGACTTGGAAGGCAGAAATAAATATAAATAAATAGATTCTGTCTTTAAGGACTTTACAAGCTATTAGGGAGCTTGACAAATAGACAGGATTTGAGCTAGGCCTGAAACATTAGTAGGATTATGATAGATAGATAGATAGATAGATAGATAGATAGATAGATAGATAGATATGAAAAAAGAAGGCATTTTAGACAGAATGGATGGCAGAGCAAATTCAAAGCAATGAAAAATATAAAAATGGAAGAGTAAAAAATGTATAAAAATGTAATGTTATCAGTTGATCTAGGAGAGGAAATCAATTGATTAAGGCTGTCCTGATCAATTCTTGCCACCACACTCTCCACTCAGTTAAACATTTGCTGTCCTCAGAACATCAATTGGGGCACTCTTGGCACATTTATCCACAGTGTGATGGAGAGGTTGAAGAACTGACCTTGAAACAAGGAAGAGCTGAATTCAAGTCCTATCTCTCTGCATACTAGGTGTATGACCCTCACCAAATCACTTAACCCCTCAAGGCCCTAGGCAACTGTCTAAAATTATAAATTGTAAAGAAAGTACCCATTCAGGTTGGTTGAAGGAAAATTCTTATTTGAAAGTTAATTATGCCAACAAAACCAAGGTCAGGTCTCTATCTTTATCCCTATCCCAAACTTAGACATCTTCTTAGTGACCCAGAGAGCCTCACACATTAATCTTTCAAGTGCCTTTCCCTAATACCTTGTACTCAGCAAATTTCATACAATACAGATCTTGGACAATCTGAAAATCAGCAAATTTAATTTATTACAAAAATTAGTGGATCACCTAACAAAGAAAGTCTCTAGTTATTTATGCCTATGGTCACATAACGTCCACCACTTGGGCAGCTGAATCTATCTCCCTTCCTCAGAGCACTGATCATGCTTTTTGGGCTTTCCCTTTCAGCCCCATCAAAATCTTTCATCCCTTTTTCAATCTGGGAAAAAATTAACTCCCAGTTAACCATTCAAAAGCATTATAGTATTTTGTACGACTAGTTCAGTTCAATCATTTTTCAGTCATGTCTGACTCTTTGTGACCTCATTTGAAGTTTTCTTGTCAAAGATACTGGAGTGGTTTGCCATTTCCTTCACCAGCTCATTTTATAGAAAAGGGCAAACAAGGTTAAGTGACTTGCCCACGGTCACACAGCTAGGTATGAAAGCAAATGCTCTTGGGGAGGCTAAGGCTAGCAGAACTGCTAAAGCCAATTGGATGTTCATACCAAGTCAGGCACTAGTACAATAACTCCTCAGGAGTAGGGGGCAGGGGTAGAGGCTGAGGGGAGACCACTAGGATGCTTAAGGAGAGGTGAACTGACCCAGGTTTAAAATGGAGCATGTTGAATCTTTTGTGTAGATCAACAGCAGTGTTGGTCCTATGAGTGGGTGTTGCCCTTTCAGCCTGAATAAGATCAGCTCACACACATACACACACACAAAATTAGTATGATATTGTGGGAGTAATGAATGTAGGAATTCCATGCAAATCAGATTCTAACTAGAAATCTGTATTTGATGAAAAACTTGGAAATACTTCATCATCAAACTTCAAATGAAATCACAGAGTTGGAAAACAAGATCAGAAGATTAGAGATTTAGAGCTTAGAGGAAAAGATAATGAGCTCAGTTTGGGGCATGTTAAGATTAGAATGTCTACGGAACATCCAGTTCAAAATGTTCAAAAAAGTAATTGGAGATATAAGATTAGAGGTCAGTAAAGAGATTAGGGCTGGATAAATTATTCCAAGAACAATGAGCACAGAGATGATTAAATCTGTGGGAATGAGCAAAATTTTAGAGATCAACATACATTATGCAAGGACATAGTGGAAACTGGCTATAAAAACTTAGCACTTCCTGAATACCCAACTTCTCTTTGCTCTCCCTCTCCCCAGTCTTCCACAAAGGGTAAGAAGGTGGTGGAAGAGAAATGAATGCTTTCAATACTACTCATCAGTAATGAAAAAAGTGTGCTTCCATTCTCCAGCCTCTTCTTTTTTCTCTTTTTCTACATCTAGAAAAAATTTTTGGTACCAATATATAGTGAAGCAAAATAAATTCCCACATTGGCCACATCCAAAATATATGTCTCATACTACATATTGAATCCATTATTTAATATTGAACCAAACACATATTCCTGGTATAAATCCAACTTTGTCATAGTATATGGTCTTATTAATACATTCATGTGATTTCTTTTCTAATAGGATTATTGGGCTAGAGTTTTCTTTCTTTGATTTGACTCTCCCTGGGCTAAGTATAAGACCGTATTTATAACATAGAAGGAATTTGGTAGAACTTCCTATTTAACTATTTTTCAAACAGTTTATTTAATATTTTGGAATCAATATTTTTTAATATTTCAAATATTTTGCTTGTATATCTATGTTCCTAGGGTTTTTTCCTTTGGGAATTTGTTTATGACTTCTTCAATTTCTTTTTCTGAGTTTGGGTTATTTGTTACTTTTATCTTGTTCTGTTAATCTAAACAGTTTATAATTTTGTTAATATTTTTCCATTTCATTTAAGCTGTCAGTTTTACTGGTACATAATTTGACAAAATAGTTTTTAATAATTTTTTTTTATTTCATCATTTGCTATTAATTTCCCCTTTTCATTATTGATATTAGTAACTTCTTTCTTTTAAAATCAAATTTACTTAATGATTTATTTATTTTCTTGTTTTTCTGCAACAAATCAGCTTCTAGTTTAATTTATTAATTCAATCTTTTGTTTTCAACTTTGCTAATCTCTGTTTTTTAAATTCCTATTTTGATGTTCAATTGAGTTTTTAAATTCAGTGTTTATTTGGGTTTTCTAGTTATTTTTAGTTGCATGCTCAATTAATTGATTTATTTTTTTCTCTCTTTTGTTAATGAAAGTATTTATTTCCAGGGACTACTTGGGATGCATCCCAAAAGTTTTGGAATTTTGATTAATTATTTTCATCATCTTTAGTAAAATTGTGTTTTATTTTGATAATTTGTTATTTGACCCACCAATTCCTCTGGATTATATTATTTTTGTTGTTGTTGCTGTTCAGTTATTTCAGTTGTGCCTGACTCTTTGTGACCCCATTTAGGATTTTCTTGTCAAAGATACTGGAATGGTTTGACATTTCCTTCTCCAGTTCATTTTATAGATGAGGAAGTGAGTCAAACAAGGTTAAGTGACTTGCCTGGGATCACACGGTTTCCAATTAATTTTAAATTCTTCTGTTGATGACCCTTTATTGAACAGATTTTTATGTTATTTTGTTCAAAAGAGGATACATTTAATATTTTTCCTTTTCTCCATTTGTTTGAGACATTTTTATTGTTAGCCAATAAACATTTATTAAGTACCCATTATG